ATATCAAAAATAATTTTAAAATATTTTAAAATATGTAAAAAATTCTACAATTCATTATAACTTTAGAAACTCTTTATTATATTTTTTTTTTTATTTTTAATTTAATGCAGGGTATGACTGATACAAAAACAGAAAGTAAAAAAAAGGCAGGATGCTAAACATGCGCGTCTCATGAGCCAAAATTAATGCAAATTCGCTTGTACCCATCCCTTGTCCTTCGGTTGCCCCTTAGTCCTTCCTAGTCCTGCCACTTGCCCTCTGACCCCTGCCCCGCTGCCTCGTGTCACCTGCCCCCCGCCCACCTGCCCACCTGCCAACACCCAGTGGCAAGTGCAAAGGAAACGCACAGCTGAATAATGTAGGGTTATGCTAATGTGCAGGACTTGGCGGGTGTCCTGAGCTCAGGTACATACGCACAGGTGTACATTACACGTTCGCTGCATTTGCTTTGGCATTTATGGGGGTCACCTGGCCACCTGGCCACCTGTCCACCCCAGAGCCACATCCTCATCCTCAATCCCAATCCTCATCGTTGTGGAAATGGAAAGTGCAAGTGGAAAGCGTTTGCCATAACCGAGAGCGATTAAATTAAATATTCAATTTCCTTTGCCCAGCCGGATATATTTGAGATCGGCCAGCAGGGAAGACCGGAAAAACACAGCAAGTTGTCCATCCTTATCAGGAATCACAGAAATCGTTGTAATGGTATAACGAAAATGCAATTTACTGTTGAAAATGTAAAAGCCCATTGGTTCAAACAATTTAATATATTTAATATAAAAGATGCAATGATAAGAATTTATGCAAAATTTTATTCAAAAATAAAGAAAATTAAGTGAAAGATTTATTGTGAATTTATAAACTTAATATTTGTTATTGGTAATCATAAAAAAAATATAAAGGCTTTTAAAAAATGTACTGTGAAGGTGCTTTAATGAACATTTTTAATTTAGCGCAGGTTCATTCACGTACGTGCATATATCAAGGTCAGTGCTGCCAATGTATCCATTTTTTAAGCAAAAAAGGCTGGAAATCTGTACTTGTGTTTAAAAAAAAATTATAATAACCTCTGCTAGGCTATAAAAATAAGTTGATAAAAATAAGTTTCATGATATGGTTAAGCTGGTATCCGAAAATAATAAATAAATTAGATTAGATTAGACTCGTACGTCAATAAACTTTAAAAATATACAAATTTAGCTTGGACAGGTTTTCATATATGCATGCTAATCAAAAATTGCCATTAAAAAATCTGTTTAAATTAAATAATTATTATAAATATGATTTGGGCAATATATTAATAAAGGTATTCAAATTTTTATAACATATATTATTATCTGATTTGCTTGTGAATCAGCTTTTGATATTTAGCGCAGCTGGCAGCATTGTTATATGTACATACCTATGTACATTGTACATACCATATGTATACTCTGTGTATATCAATGTGTAAACAAAGGTATAGGAAATTTTGTTGCACTTGACAAGATGATGGACGACAGATACCGCTGCAGTGCCACTCCCACTTTCACTCCGCCCGCCATCCATTCGACAGTATATACAGTATGGTATTGAGGTTCCTGTGGGAACCCCTGTACGATGGTATGGTGTGGGATGGTATGGTATGGGGGTCTTCTTTCGTTGATGGCTGAGTAGGAGTTGGGTAGGGAAACGTAAACGTTGCCGCTGTCAAAATGTCGTCATTGTTCATTCATGAAATGTGCGCCTTTTTACATTTTACCCAACATCAGCAGTAGGAACAGAAACAGCAGAAGCTACGGTGATAGCAGCGATAGCACTGAGAAAAACAACTAAAACTTCGAGATGTATTTTGATTTTTCATTTTTAAGTTCGACCAATAGCTAAAACAAACATATGGCTTTAATTGTTTATAAAATCTCATTCCTTCCTAATTTTTGAAAAAATGTTCTGAATATTGGTCTTATTTTTATTAACGGGGTATATCAGATCAGATTTTAGTCAAAAATACTATTTTTCTTTCCAGTTTTTCAATCGTAGTTTAGTCAAATCAAGGCGTACAGCAAAAAGACCGACTGTCTTGAACAGCTTGCTACAAATGCTATCGATCCCTATCACTTTTAGGAACATTCGTTTTTTGACCCATTTTTGCAGTTTTTTTTTTTAGATTCAGATTTTGTCAAAAATACTCGTTTTTTAGTGGTTTTTCAGTCGTAGTTTATCCAAATCAAGGCGTAAAGCTAAAAGACCGACTGTTTTGAACAGCTTGCTACTTTTGCTAACGATCCCAATCACTTTAAGAAAAATTTATTTTTTGACCAATTTTCTCATTTTTTGTAAGGCGGTGCATCGTCTTTTTTTGCGAAAAATGCGAAAAATTTAGAATTTCTAGGCTTGAATGCCAATGGATTGGAAATTAAACAACGAGTTCAACGAGGTATGGCATTCTACGATCTGACGATTATTTTTGCTATAGCAGAAAAAAACTCAGTTTTTAGGGCGACAAAATGGGATTTAGATTTTGGTGAAAAATGCGATATTCGCATTTTAGTCAAAAATACTATTTTTGCTCAATTTTTCATTTTACGGTGTGACCATAAATTGAAAAAATCAAGTGGCTAACTGTCTTAAATCTGGCAGATTATAAATTATAAAAATAATAAAATTTATAAATTATTGTACTATTTTTGATTTGCTTGTTTATTATTTAAGAGCATTATAGTAATGAACCCACCAACAATTCTGTTAAATTTTATATTTCATGGGGCTACAGTTTTTCTCCGAGTGCCGCAACAACCGCAATGGCCGCAAAATGAAATGGGGGAAAAACGGCGGAGAAAGGGGGAATCCAAGCAGAGGAGTGAGAAAGCGGGAAATCGAGAAAGAGAGAGGGAGAGGCAAGGAGAAAGCGGGGAAAGCAGTGTGCTGGAGTGTGTGTGTGCGAGGACATGCGACTGTGTGGCACACAAACAAACACACACACGCACACTGCGCCACACTCGCTGACATCATCCGCAACCACTCATGGGGCAAAATAAAGGAGAAAGGGGCAAAGCGAGGGGCGAAGAAAGTGGCAAGGAGCAAGGAACATGGAGCAAGGAGAAAGGGGGCTAATAATATCTTGTGGGCGGGGCTGTGCGCTGTTGTTGGCGTAAATATTGTCATTTGTTGCGACATTGAAGTTATTGTTTGTCCGTTTGACGCTGTTCAAATTCCCTCAACTACACACACACAGTGCACATCCACACACGCAGGAGTCCTTAAAGGACATTTGAATGTTTGCCTGCAATTAGGTAGATCAACTGGCAGGGGGCGAATACCGATCGCCGCCACCTGGGGCCCATTACCACTTCCGGCTAATTGGGGGGCGAAATGCGAAATGGGTAATGGGAAATGGGAAATGCCACGGCAGACTTTCACACAAAGAAAACAATTAAGTATTTGCGGCATTTAGCCCATCTTGCCGCAATTGCCGGTCGGCAAACAGTGCTGAAGCGAAAATGCAGGGTCTTTAATCCAAAGGAATTCCAGATAGTCGTATAGTCTATAAAAAAGCATGCTTGAATTTAAACACTTCTAAATAGCTATCTATCTATTTAGAATATAAGGATCAAAGGAAAAACTTGGTACTTTGGGTCCTTTTCATATGGTGTCTTAAGGTATGCTTATACAATACGAAAAACTGATTTAAAATTGTAAATACGTTTTTTAAAATCAATAAAAAAATATGTATCGATACTCTTAATATCACAAAAAATATATTTTATTATTTTTATACAATCATACTTATGCCATATTTTAGTAATTTTCAAATTTAACATAGATGTAATACTTAAGTAGACCAATTGTAGCTTGACTTTAAATTGTATTCCTCTGTATTCCATCTCTTAGTTATTTATTACATTTATTTCTTTATTTATTATTAAAAAAAATACTTTTCAAACATATATCACTTTACAAGAAAATAACAATAAAATACAAGGTTTACTCATATTTTAAGGTCATTAATTTCTTGACAAATGCGAACATTTATAAAAAAAATAAAGTTTCTTTCTATGTAGTAGTTTTGTTGTTTATTTTCTTATAAACTTACTTCTACATTATAAGCCATGAATAATAAACGTTTTTTTTAGTCTAAAAAATCGAAATATATGAGTGTTTGCCCATTGTGTTTTAAAAACCATCCAATATAACAACAATATATCGTATATTGTAAGGAATATATACATGCATCATATATGATGTGATATAAACAATATCATATAATACTTTAGGGATATCATCAATTTTCAGTGGTTTTTTGAAAGTACCAAGTACATTTATATATTGCATATTTCAAGTTGTATATTTTAAGTTGTTTTTTCGAAAATACATTTGTGCTTTAGGAAAAATACATCTCCTTGCGTTCAGCTGAGCTCGTAGTGCAGCCGAACGTGCGACTGCCCCTGCAAAGCCACATGGTATCCTCGTGAATTTGGTCTTGCCAGCGCCTCGGCTTCCTTGGTCTTTGGTCTTGTCTTTGCCAGGCGGCCTGACGTATGCCACTTGCCACATGCCAACCCCTATACCCTATACCCTACACCCTACACCCTATACCCAATCCCCAATACCCAATCCCACCTCCCCGATATCCGATCCCCTTCTAGCTGTTATCCTTCCTGGCTTGTAGATGGCCTAGCTGGCGTGTCCCTTTTGCAGCCTTACTGGGTTCTGTTGGGTTGTTGGGTTGCTGGGTTCTTGGGTTGCTGGGTTCTTGGGTTCTTGGGCCTGTCCCAATGACCGAGTGGCGGTATGTCGCGTCGCTCTCAGCCGCAGAAATTCCGAATCCCCTAAATCCGAATGGTTCTCCGAATTCGAGTGGCGGCTAGCTGGAGCCCGAGTCCCTGTAAAAGTGGAAAGTGGCACAGAGCCGAGTGGCTTCGTCGGCGTGACGAAGGCCCTTCGTGGCCAGCCGAAGGCTCCACGAAGGCCCCACGAAGCCTTCGGCCGAGCGAACTGAACGAAAGTCGCACTCTGCGGACGCACACGCGCTGCGGCAGCTGACAGTTTCAGTAAACCACGGAGACGAACGGATTACGGGTAACGAAACAGCAGCAGCAGTTCAAGCAGCAGCCAGAGAATATAAAAAATAAAGGAACCCCCCCTTAAAAAAAAAAGAAAGCAAAGAAAAAACAGCACTCATCCTAAAAAAAAAAGAGAAAATAAAAAAAATTGTAGCAAAGGGAGGACCAAAAAAAAAAATAAAATAAAAAACTGAAAGAGAAACCTCGAATCACAGCTCACAGGCTGGCACAGCCCAGCAGAACTCGAGCCCTGAGTCTTAAAACACTAAAATAAAAAACCTATATGATATATTATATATTTATATATATATATGCAATATATACAAGTGCCTTGAGCAGTGCGCAGGCAGGCCAACAACGAGCAAAGGAGCCAAGTCCAAAGAAAGTTTTACATAAGTTCTCCCTCCTCAATCAGGCACCATTTTTTTCTATAGTTTTTTTTTCCGTGAGTGTGACCCAAAAACAAAAAAAAAATATAATCAAAGAGAAGGCAGCAGCAATAAGAAGAAGAAGAAGCCGAAGAATAAGGAGCTAAAGAAGAAGAGGAAACAGCCAGCCAGCAGAAAAACACAAAAAGTCGAAATAAACTAAAAAGCCAAATAAATTGTGCGTGTGTAAAAGTGTGTGAAGAAGAAGCAGAAGAATCAGCCAGAAAAAAAACAGTAATTTTTTTTAACTTGAATTATGGTCAAATTTTTTTATTTGTGTAAAAGCGCGTGTTTGCCATGGCGTATACTTGATGTGGCCGCACCAGCAACGATTGCGTATACGCCTAGTGTGCCCCGCTCTCAGCGTGTGTGTGTGTGTGTGTGTGCGAGTGTGAGTGTGCGTCACACACAACGTGTTACGCAGAGTAACCCCCCTCCCCCCAAACCCCTCCACAACCCTGCCTGCCAAAAAAAACTCTTGGTTTGTTGTTTAGACCAAAGTGCTCGGAAAAGTAGGCAACGAAAATGGTTACAACAAATTGCAGGACATACACGCACACCAAAGCAGGCACACACACACACACACACATATGTATGGCTATTTGGGATATGTGGGGAAAGAAGAAGAAGAAGCAGAAGGAGAAGCAGAAGAAGAAGAACTATGTGTGTGCCGCGGACTTTCGATTTTTCGTGACTCGGTTTTCTTGTGTATGTTCTCGAGTGTCCTTTGTTGTTGCTCCTTTCTGTTGTTGCTGTTGGCGATGTCGCCCCATCAGAACCCCCCTCACCCCCCTTTGAGGCACCCCCTCCCCTACGCCCCACAAACTCCACTCTGTATGGTTTTCGCCTGCTGTTTAGGTTATGTGTATCTGGCATGTCCTTTTCGCCTGCCTTTTCCTTTTTGGAGCGCGCATATGCGATGTCTGCGCTAGCACGAAAACCCAAAACGAAACGAATCGAAACGAATTGAAACGAAACGAAACGGTACGGTACGAAAACCAACTCAACACACAACACAATTCAACTTAACTCGCCCCGAAAATCAACAGAGAGTGGGTAGGGTATCCACTCAGTCACTCAGTCAGTCAGTCACTCAGTCAGTCAGTCAGTCAGTTGGGCGCCACTTCGCTAAGGCCTAAAGGATCCCCTACCCCATCGCATCCTTCGGCTTTTCAGTTCGAGTCGCGCGTGTGCCATATCGCGTTTCGTTTTTCGTGTTTTCGTGCGCAAAAAGAGCCGAGTTCCAAAGATTGGGGGTCCTGCAAAGTGGTTACTGGGTACTGGGTACTGGGGGTACTGGGGGTACTGGGTACCGGGTTCCGAAGACTGAGGACGAGGCCACAAGGAGCCCTCCAAAAAGAGAACCCAGTACCCAGAATCGAGAGAACAAGAGAGCGAGAAAGAGAGAGAGAGAGAGAGACACTGGCGTAAAAGGGACAAGGGTGTCGCAAATTGCCTTGGCTTGGCTCACCAAAAAAAAAAAATACGAAATTGTGCAACGCTTTTGAAGTTTGAAGTTGCTGTCTGCTGGAAAATATATAGCCCTATATGTACTATATACCCATATATAATTGCATATATTACCAGGCATATGAAAGACACAAGTTAATTGCCTGAAAATCGGATAATTGCAATTGTTCATATATGATTTACAACAGCCATTAATGGCAGTTATTGTCACGAAAGTGCTGTCATGAACATTTACCATGAATGTTTTTCCATGGAACTGGAAATCATTCAGTTGGACCTAAAGTTAACTAGAAATGACTAATGGTTTAAGCTTATTTTTTAACTTTGGTCTATCTAAATACCATAAATCAAAGCTAATTGGATATATTTTTCTGTTTAAAAAATGTTATTGAATCAGATTTGTTTGAAAAATAGTTATGTGGGACTTGCTTAAATTATTTGCCATATATAGTACAGAATTTTGACCCCCATATAAGCTTAAATGGATGTTCTTTTCATAGTTTATAATACAATAATTTAAAAAATCAATAGAGTACACATTTTTAAACATATTGATCGGTTTTTGGGTATTTTTTTATAAAATCTTAAGTAATGAAGACAAATATAGAAAACCTATAGACAAATTATCCAGGAACTTATCGAAAAGCTTAAAACCTTATACGAGTATTAGGGATTTTAATCTACAAAAGCCTTGTATTTTCAACCCAGAGTTGAATGGGCTTATGTGCTTAGCTTTCGAGAACTTGTGAGGACCTCGTTGAAATCGAAAGGACACGCAATTGTGGCCCAGAATCGAAAGCGAAAACTTTCCTTTCTTTTTGCCAAAATCTATAAACTTTCGACGCACCAACTGTCTCGTGTTTGGTTTTTTTGTATGGCTAAAGGGACATTTGTGTGCGTTTCGCGACTTTTGGGCGCTATAAAATGCCAAAAAGACAAGGGGCTCTTAAGCAAAAGGAGGTGCCGTAGTATCGGGTTCCTGGTAAAATGGGTCTACTACCAGGAACCCAGCGGGTTGAACCACTTGGCCCACCTTGCCTGCCACCAGCTAGTCCTGCGGCGAAGGCTCCCCAGGACTCCCATGCCCAAAGTTCCGTAGAGGAACCCCTCCCAGGAGCCACACCACCCGTTCAATCTGCCCTCGGGCTGTGCGTGTTCAATTGGTTTTACCCACCATTGTTGTTTGCTCTGTGCCGCTCTTGTTGGTTTTCGGTGTAAAAAATTTACATAACCCAAATTGACGCATAAATAAATTATTAAATACGTGACGTGCAAATGGTCAAAGAGACCAGAGACCATCGAATAGGAAATAGAGCCCAGCAAACACAGAAGTCGAATGCCATGTGCAGGGCAATCCTCTGGCTGGGGGCTCTCTGTTCCATTCTGCGAATCCCCAGGGTTCGCAATCAGGACGCAATCCAATAAGGAGATTGTGTATTCTCGGAACTGCGAGCCATACTGCCATTCGGCCATATGCCATGTGTGGTATGCCCAATGTGTGACCTGAGCCCAATCAAATGTCGGCGGAGATCCTCACCGGAAATTCAATTAGGACCAAGGCCAAGGCTGTTCAAGCCGCTGGAAATGATCGAACCAATCCAAAATCAATAGGATTTTAGGACTTTTCGCAATAAGTGAATACCTAACATACTCTGTATCGAGTAAAACTTTTCCCATGACTCCTTTAAAGGCATTCTATGAAAATTAGGACCAAGCCCACGGCTGTTCTAGCCGCTGGAAATGGTCGAACTTTTAGGACTTTTTGCAATGAGTGAATTCTTAAAATTCCCCATTTCAAGTAAAACAAGGAAGAACGCTATAGTCGAGTACCTCGACTATCAGATACCCGTTACTCAGCTAAATGGAGATATGCAAGCAGCAAAGCGAGATTAAAATGCGGCACCTACCGGCGGTATACAGATTTTTTTTTGGATCAATCGATAGGTTTCGACGAGACCAATACATTTCAGTTAAAATTTTTTATCTAGCTTAAAAATTGTGGGCGTCACAGGTTTTTGCGGTTTGTGGGCGTTAAAGTGGGCGTGGCAAACTTTTTTTTTGAATCAATCGATAGGTATTGATGAGAACAATACATTTCAGTTAAAATTTTTATTCTAGCATCAAAACTGTAGGAGCCACAGTTTTGGGCGGTTTGTGGGCGTTGGAGTGGGCGTGGCACATTGCTGAAACAAAATTGCGCTGCGTAAAAAGCTCAGGAATCTGCATGCCAAATCTCAATAGCCTAGCTCCCATAGTTTCCGAGATCTCAGCGTTCATCCGGACGGACAGACAGACGGACAGACGGACATGGCTAGATCGACTCGGCTAGTGATCCTGATCAAGAATATATACACTTTGTGGGGTCGGAAACGCTTCCTTCTGCCTGTTACATACTTTCCGACGAATCTAGTATACCCTTTTACTCTACGAGTAACGGGTATAAAAATCCCATAATCCCTTTAAAGGGATTCTATGAAAATCTTTCACTAATTGGGACCAAGGCAAAGGCTTCTTACGCCGCTGGAATTGATTGAACCAATCCAAAATCAATGGGATGTTTGGACTTTTCGCTATAAGAGAATTCTTAGAACACACCGTTCCAAGTAAAAAATTCCTATAATCCCTTTAAAGGCATTCTATGAAAATCTTCAGTTTTTTACTGTCAGTGGGTTTCCTAGCCTATTTTGTTGAGCTAATAGCATTTTCGAAGTATTTAGTCTATACATTAAAAAAAGTTTGTATTTCAAATTACTATTGTCCATAGGTAATATTTTAGGCCTATAAAAAAGTTGAGTTATTTTCTTATAAAGATACAATTTAAAAATATATAATCCAAAAAGCGGCTAATTTCCTATTGCAACAAACTAATTTCTAGCTTTATACACTTTCATTCTTTTTAGTATTGCTTCTAATCAAGCTTAAATTTCGATTAAAAAAGATAACTTAATTAAATGAAGCTAATAAATATATTTAAATAAATAAATTATTTATTTTTAATCGTACTATGTGAAATAGGTTAACCCATGGCAAATGCCATTTTCCCACATAATTTAATTTCTATAATAGCTCCTCAATTTCTCAATTCCATATAAATGACACCCGCTTACTAAGTTGACCTGAATATGTTAAGGTCTTGCAAAGTTGTGCAATTAAGCTTACTGGCTGCTATTACTATAAAATAAATATTTAATTTAACACATTGGTGGGAAAAATTAATTGGCCAGGCAACTTGAGGAGTTTATGAAAACCTCTTTAAAAATAGCTCCAAGTTTTCGAACTAGCAATGCCAGAAGTATTCCCCGGTTTGGTGACCCAAGTTATAAGCTTTATTTCAAGTTCTATACAAACATAGCTAAGGATTTTCCAATTTGCTCTCTCAATAAGCTTTATTTTCAAGTTATATTTAAACTTTTCTTAGAACATTAGAAACGCAGCATGTGCAATGGGTTGACAAACGGTTGGTGACGTTTTGGTGACCCCACCACATAGAGTTCGGATCGATTGGTCGCTGTCCAAAAGCGGGGTGCCCGAAAGCGGGTCACCATGATTTGTGATTATAACTGTTGTTCCATTTTCGGGGCACATGAGTTATGAACGCAGTTCGAAATTGACCAGTCCAACTGGTGCCAAACGCCCGAAAATAATGGCCCACTGTAGCAATTTTTGGTAGTAGTTGAGAATCGAGAAAGGCATTAGCTTGATGACCTAAAAATAGAATAAGTCACAAAAAGGCGGCGAAGGCGAAAAGCGAGTGGCGAACGGCGAACGGCGAAAGGATAAGCGGCGAAATGGGGTGGCAAAGTAGCACAACAAAACCTGTGTTGACAACGACTTTCGGGTGCTTTTGGGGTGGTAATATATGCTAAATGGTATTTGGGCGAAAGGACCTCACACACAGAAACACACACACACATACAAAGCTTGCGGCAAATTCGACTGAAAGGAAGTTGCGGCGAAGCAGCCAGCTGCATTCTTCTTCTTCGCCCGAAAACGGAGTTACCCAGAGAGTCCTGGCTCTCAGTGGAAATCGCTCGAACTGCTCGGTGTTCTGTGCTCGGTGCTCGGCGCTCGGTGTTCTGTGCTCGCTGCTCGAGGTTTTCTTTCCCCGTGTCCTTTTGTATCCTTTGTGTCCTGCTCTGCGTTTCACGTGCGCGCGTACATTGCATAAACATAAACAAAACGCTAATCGCAGCCCAGTGCCACATCCCTTTTTTTTTACCGTGTAACATCCAGTGAGAGATACTATTATCCTGCCAAACTTAGTGTGCTTATTTTTTTCGAGTGTCCCAGTGCAAGACAACCAAGTGTGTGATAGAAAAACCTAATAAGAAATATAAACAATCGATAAAGCTCTGGAAAAGCAGTATAAATAGCAAGAATAATATCACATATAATAAAAAAGACTACAGAAAATTGGAAATATTTGAACAATAATTAAAAAAAAATATAACACCATATTAAAGACTTATAAATACTATTAAAAATAAATTTTTTTGTCCTTCCGATATATGTTGTACACCCTTTTTTTAGCTGGGTTTTGCTTAGCTTTCCCCAAATTTTAATTCGAGTTTCAACAACTTGTTCGCTTTTCCGCAGGCGACGCTGGCAAAATTGAAACTAAAACCGCAACAGAAACCACAAATAATAATAGTAATATTACCCATAATACGGCAAACACAATTATGATAATAGCCAGCAGTTAAGGCGAAAGGCAAACACACACATCCAAACACCACAAACAAAAATAGTACATAATAGCAATACACAAATAATACAAATTATAATAATAATAATAATAATAATAAACCGAAACAGCTCTGGGAACAAAACGCAGCGTTTGATGAAAATTTTTGGCAAACACGTCGCGTCGTCTTGGTTGTTGTTAACCACATCCTGCTAACGCCAAAAGTCCGAAACTAAAATTCCAACAAATACCCAATAATAATATAGATCAACAAACAAAAGAAACAAACAAAAAAAAAGCAAGCAAAAATAACACAAAAAAAAAACAAACCAAAAATATAAAAAAAAACAAATTCATCTTCTACTTGTTCTACCGCTTCAACATTATTCGTCTTCGTCTCCGTAATAAATATATATATAAAATATACATATATATACATGCATATGTGTGTGAGTGCGTCGCGTGTGTGTTGGTGCCTGTAAATGTGTGAGCCACAACAACAACAACTACAGCAACCAGAGCCAGAGCAACAACCACAGCAGCAGCAACAACAGCAACAACAACAGTAGTTAACAACAGCAACAACTCTTAGCAGCAGCAACAACAACAATACAAGCAAGCACCTCCACAACAAAGCTAAAACAACAACCACAATAGCAACCACAACAACAACATCAGCGGAAAGAGCGAGCAGCCAAGCACAACATCGATTGACATCGATTAACGGTAAGTTGTTAATCGAAGCAGTTCAAATAATCGATCTATTTGGGGATCTTTTACCTCCAGTGTAATTAAGCTTTTCAGAAGATCATACCATTATCAAGATTCTACACATTACTAATCATGTTTTACTGTTTTTTAATACAATATTATGATCCTTTATATTTCATATTTCCCGTATTATCTTCTATTTCTTAAAAATTTGTATTGAACTCACAAAATATTTTGAAAAATTCTCTTTTTTTTGTTTTAAAAACCAACGATCTTAAGATTTTTCAAAATCCTTAGTCAATCAATTTACAGGAATTCCTCCAGGCACCTCCCTTCCAAAAAATGTATGCACAATATGTTTTTTTTCGAACAAAATAGAACTAAATAACAAGATTTTAATAAGGAATACAGAGAACTATTACCCATAACTTAATATTGTTATTAGCCTTTGAGAATGGACTTAGGGCTATGTACATATTCGGAATATAAAACATAACCATGATTCAGATAAAGATTATTGGAATAGCTTTTAATTTTTATTTAATACATTTTAACAGATAGTACATTTTTATATTGTTTTTTTTCTGGAATAATAAGTGGGATCCTATAAAAAAATGGTCTAAGATGGATATAAGATATCTAAAAGGTCAAAATTTATGTTCTGAAAAGTCGGACTTTATTAACAACATTTATTTTATAGATTGTAATGTCTCATTGACTTGTTAGGGATAGCCTAAAAAATATTACAAACAGAAAGGTGCTTAAAACCGCTATTTTCAAATAAAATAATAACCCTTAATTATGGTATCATACATAAAATATTATAAGGGAACCACCACTTGTCATAAAATAACGAGTAATGGGAGGCTTGAAGCTATAAAATTGATTTTACCAATAAATTAGAGCTGGGAAAGTTACAAGTTGAAGCCAAAACACCGAATACTCTTGGCATATATTTAATTCCGAGGAATTGCAGAGAGCCAAGGACTTGAATGCTCATCTAGAATGTTTTCTCATAGCTGGTTATTTAATGTAGCCTACCTAAGAGGGCAAACTTTGAGATGGAAATCAATTGGGTCTTATGAGCAGTTCAGCATTTCAATCTATAAAGATAGGCAAGTGTGAACTGGGCGACTTGATGAACTTGGCTTGATTATGTCATGCCTTCTTGGTGAAAATCCCAGTTAACCAGGCCCGACCTCAAAGACTATCAATGGGGTATCTGCGCCCCTTTTTGCCGCCCACCGGCACGCCCCTTGCTTTTGGGCTACAACCTTTTGCTGGCTTTTGGAGGGCAAACTTTCAGCTGCCACAAAGAAAAGAGCGAAAAGGGGGAGTGACAGAGGGGGAGTGACAAAGGGGGGTTTTTGACGAGGTCTAACGGAATTCCTTTGCTCACGCACACACCTAAAAACACGTTCGTTAAGAGAAGGAAACCCAAAAATGTATTGTTGTAGTCCGCGTTTGTTGGCGGCAACAAAGCGAGAGCGCATCCTCTCTCGGCGCAGGTGAGAGAGAGTCCTTTCCCCGTCCTGGCCTCCTCTCTCTCTCTTGCCTCTCTCTCGCCCTCTCCAGCTAGCCCCATTTTGCTCTCCCATGCAAAATTCATTGACTAACAACATGCAAACTTCGTTCAGTTTTTCGCTGTTTGTTTTAGTCTTTTTTTGTACATTTTTTTGGCCCCTCGAATTTCTGTTCTGTTCAACAATTAAAAGGGCTAGGAAAATTTGTCATATTTGATCTAATCGATTTTTGGTTTTGACTGCAAAGGAAAATGTTTTGCTTTGGTGTTGATTTCGTTTTTTTTTTATATGGGTTGCTCATGTGTTTTGGCATGTCATTTGCATATTGACACAAATTCCGGTTCAGTTTTTTTTCGGTTTTTTTTTGCGTGGTTTTTGCATGACTCATCGCCAGCGATTGGCCAAAAATTAATTCGGCAAACAACATTTTGCGAGTGTCATGAATGAAACAGACACACATAAATATATGCTCATATTGGCACACCAGCTTGTGTGTTTGTGTGGACGCTCTTCTATGCTTCATGTGTGCGTGTGTGTGTGAGTGTGGCGAAATATCGAACTGACCTACTTTTATGCTCGATACACACACACACACAGGCAGATTGGCAAATGGAAAAAGAGTGCTTTGACCTTAGCGGAGGCTGCTTATATAAGCCCAATATCCGATACAATCCGTAATCGAAACTAGTTTTGATTGTTCTGAAGAATTTTAGTGATAGAAACGGAATGTTTCATTAAAAATATATATATTTAGCTAAAATATATATGCAAATATATGTATTTTATTAATATTAATAATAATAAATAAAATAAAAAGGGATGTTTTAGTAGATATAAAGACCTTATCATCGTAGAAACATTTTATTATTTAGGCTCAACTAACAATATTTCACATATCCCCCCCTTCCTACTTCCAAAATTTGCCTATTTCAAAATCCTACCCATCCTACCCCTTATTAAATAAACACACGTGTACCCATGTTTGTTTTCCTTTTATTGATTGACCATTGTTTGTGTTTTGTGCATTTTACTTTTGATTGCATTTCATTTAATGCGAATTGCCGCCTGCGGTAATCCAATTAGCCAGCTGTTGAGGTTTCGATTTCGGATCGGCACCATGGGATCAATGTGCTGGCTTTACCCATAACCAACTTGGCCCACAACTAATGGTTAAAACATTTTCGATTTACTTGCAGCATCGTGCTAAGCGGCGGGCGCTAATCGAACATGGCGCCTCGGATATAGTTGTAGCTTTAATGTAGCAGGCGACATCCATGTGCCTCATGTAAGTACACACACCCCTATATTATATTATTATACCCATTAGGTCGTAGGTCACAAATAATTATGTCCAATCCTTTTGCGCCCCCTTTTGGTTCGGCGAAAAGGTAATTGAGTCAACAACTGTGTGCAATCCAGTTTGAGTTGTTCGAATAAAATGTAAATGTAATTTATTCAGCTTGCGCTTAAAAGAATTCAATTATAAATCGATTTTCGTAAAGGTCAGTTGCACAAGTTGCAACAAGTTTGAGCCTAACACTTCTTGTCACATGGAAAATTAACTCAAACTCAATTACTCGTTGTACAACAAATTTACATTTCTGTTTAACATGATAGAGAAAATCATTTTGTTCAAAGGGAAACTGAATCACTGCTGATTACAGCCGGTTAAAGGAATTGTCATTGAAGTAAATTTAGATTATAGCAATGCAAAGATATTTTGCAATAAAATAATGGATTGAGAACCTTCTCTATACTGTATAAACATGTATTATTTCAATAACATAGTATCTAGTTCATAATAACGAATATGATAATAGATGTTGACTACAACTATCTATCATAATCGGAATGCAACAGAAATCTGCTTCAACCAAAATAGGTTTGAATACTTACTTTTAAATATGATGATTTTTAGTTTTTAGTTGTCTATCATCTTACTGTTAATTGACAGTACGATTTGTAGCTATAGATTTTTTTAAGGGATTACGTTTATTAACAACGAATGTATCATTCATATAACAGTCTTTTATAAAGACTTTAAATTCTGGAGGAACTTATTAGTTCCAATATTAAAAAGTTCCAATATTAAAGTTCTTAAACTACACTGGCAAACGAATATCAGAAAGATCTTAATACTCATACAGATGAAAGTATTATAGATAATGTTTGCAGAATGTATATAATAAATGTGTTTCTCTTTTTGGTTTTTGATGGATTGTATTGTAAAATCTTGTATCTTGTATCTCTTCTTTTCAGGCCTTGGAAATCTAAGGCTCTCATCGTTGGCCGCATAGACAATGACAGAAGATTCCGACTCGATATCTGAGGAAGAACGCAGTTTGTTCCGTCCCTTTACCCGCGAATCATTGGTGCAAATCGAACAACGCATTGCCGCTGAACATGAAAAGCAGAAGGAGCTGGAAAGAAAGAGAGCCGAGGGAGAGGTGGTAATTATTTCTAGCTGAATGTGAATAGCTTACTCCATTTTGTGTGCCTACTCTACTACTCTTTCTGTATCTGTATCTGTATCCGTATATGTATCTCTCTCTCTTCGTCTAAGTGAATTGACTTCCAATTGAGATCGAATGCCAAACGGTCGATGCTGATCGCTGATCGATTGACAATAATCGGTCGATCAGCGATCAGTGATCAGCGATAACCGATAACCAATCGCCGCTACTGTGCGCTTTTGTTCGTGCTTCAACTTAAGCCTGAACGTCTATTTTACATATATATAATATACTCAAATATGTTCTACTAACTAACCCCAAACATACATATCTACCCGAAAAGAAACCGCATATCAAGTTAACAACAAAACCATCCAACTCACAAGCAGTCATCCTCCGTATACATATACATATCTGTATATCGAATGCGTCTGTGTCTACAGTTCTCTTTATAACCATATCTTTCCCCCTCAGTTTTGTCATATCTAACCTCCTTCATCTCAGCCTCTGTAAATGCAGCAACCATCCACCATTTAAGCCTCAGTCTCATTTCATATCTCGGAGTACCGCCATAAAATCCACTGTGCTTGACCCCTGCCATCCAATCCGAAAACCCGATAAAACAACCATGCAGATCCACAGCTCTAAACGCCTTTTCTCTGTCTGACCCCTAACTGGACCTCAACTGTTTACTGTCAACTGTATACTGTATACTCTTATCCGTAATCTCAGCCCAACAAACACCTCTATCATTTCACCTCTTTCAAAGTCTCAAATTCGTAAATGTTTTAATCGTAGCTAAGAACCCATTCCAACCGTACTCAAATTCCACAAAAGTACAGCATAAATCCACCGACTTTCGTTTCGATCTTCAGTTCGATTTGTTCTGTTTTATTTCCAACAAAATTCCAAAACGTAAAAGTGTCTAAAAGAATAGTTAAGTGATTTCTGATTTACCTTTTGTTGTGTGTACTCGTATTTTGTATTCAGCATAAGAACCCAAAAATTCCCCCAGCAATCCCCATATGCTCTTGTACGTACCGATATCGTAACGTATTACTATCGAATCTGTAAAATTTCTTTCCTGCCATAATCGTTGTATGTTCGTTCGTTTGTTGGTTTGTTTAATTGTTTATCTGTTTATCTATTTGAGAGTAAGAACTGTGTATTCCGTAACCCATTGGCTTCGTAATGTGTTCTAATGTGTATCCTAATCGATAACCTAATCAATTTTTGTATTATTGCGTAAACATATCATTTTCAATGCCAGCAACCCCAACAATTTAACATTATCATTGTCGTATCGTTATCGTATTGTATTAGTCCAAGGCTAAAAACTTTTAAATTATATTTCTTGATTTCTGTTTGGATTTTTGATTTCTTTCGGTTTGATTTAACGAGTGGCTTGGGTATAAAAATCCCAGGCCAAGTCCACGTCCACGTCCATGTCCATGACCCACATGTCCTTCTAGTCTTAACATACTCTGCACACTCAGCAGACCTCCAGGTATCGTCCTGTAAATAAACGACTCGCTTGTGAATACGTGTATCAAATCTCCACAACTGTGTCCATTGCCGATCATTAGTGCCAGTAATCAGTTTCCAAATCAGACCATTACCAACCGAATCATCAAAGAGCTTGTATCCATTTTTTGCAGTAGTACCTGCTATAAAACAAAGGAACCAAAATTAACCGACTGCTTTGAGCAATTAAAAAAACAAACGCCCGAAAATGGAACCTATGAAAAACATAACTGCTTTGAAATACCATGATGGAACTATCGATGTTATGATAAAGAAAGAGCCATTGAGGAAAAATTAAAAGGCTACATGTTATAAAAATGCTAGAACCTATCGATAACCATAAATTTGAAGCTGACTGCTATAAAATTGAAACTAAAATCGAAGGATCATCTGCCAGATCTTTAGATCTAAACCAAGAATCATTGGAAAAGCAGGAAATGTTATGGCTTACATCTATTGTAAAGGAACCAAATTTCAATTAGAGATTACTTAAATTCTTGGATCCGATTAAACTGAAAGCTCAATCAACCCAAACTGATCGTAGCTGTAAGCTGCTTGCTATGAAATCTTGTAAAAAACCATCAAAGCGCATTGTCATTAGCCACCTACACATAGACAAGCAACGATTTAACCCATGCGCACCCCAATAAACCTTCAACTTTGATCCCTAAATCTTTAACTTCAAACCTAGCTCTGTCTCTGTCTTCGCCTCTGTCTCTGTCTCTCTTCCTCCTCTGACCTCACACTCTGTAAAGACCATTTTCAACACCCAGTCACAGATACAGACACAACCGCACTAGATATAGAAATCAATCAGAATTCAGATATCAATGAATCATTATCCATGATTAATGCATTGCGAAGATGCGCAAAAGCAATTATTAGGGGTAGCCGATACCGATAGCGATACCGATATCGTGATCGATATCCCATATGTATAACCCCCCCCCCTGACATAATGCTGAAAACTGCTCGCCTACATAACCACTTTCTACCGTTTGTTTTTTCTTTCGTGTACTCTTCTTCCGTTTCATTTACAACTTTCTCTCTACTTTTTGAACGCTCTCTCTCAACGAATCCTTTGCGCGCTGCTGTCTGGACCAAAAAAATGAATATAAATATGATTATAAATGAATATAAAAACCATCCATAATGAATGACAAATGCGAATTCGGTGCTTGCATAATGCAATCAAACAAAATTACGAAATACCAAATCAAAATCAAAATCAATACCAAATCGAACATGAACTTTTCTCTACTACTACGCTACTTTTTCTTGAACTTGATAATGCTCGTAATGAATGCCCTAAACCAAATACCAAATCCAAATCTTCTTTCAGCCGCAATATGGTCGCAAGAAAAAACAAAAAGAAGTAAGATTTTGCTCAGAAAACCAAAAAAAAAAGAAACCACAATAAATAAGAATAAGAAAACCACCCCCACCACTTACCTCAAAAACACTACCCTTCGACCTTCGAGAACACACCTCCCCCCCCACACACACACACACACACACACCCACACACCTTGAGAGAATCTCCATCTCAATCCGAATCGAAGGAAAAAAGTTTTATGATTTCACCTTTTTCGTGCCTTTTCAGTTGAGACTTTATTGCCACAAATCGTTTTCCTTTTAGCCGAACAATTTTGCGTTGCAATTTTCCGTTGTTGGTTACTCAGTTCCTCAGTTCCTCTCAGTTTCTTTGTGCAACTGCTGCAAGTTACCAATCAAGCCAGCCAATCCACGCCACTTAGCCCAGTTTGATCCAGACCCCCACACTGGTGTGCCCCCAGACTCAACATATGTAACGCCAATCTCGTACCCAGTATCTACTGTATATGTATATCTTTGTATCCGCTCCCTAAATGTAGCCCTCGTACGTAAGCTTGTATCTATGTATATCGTAAATTCGTATTATATCTTTGCCGTTCTATATCTTTCCCACCGCCCCGGGACGCTTAATGCAAAAAGAATAATACTAAAAAAAAGAATACTGAAAGCTCACCTTTAAAAAGCCAAAAAAAAATACTAATGCAGCTGAAAATACGCTTCTAACTTTTTCGCTTTACTCAGTATTTGCTTTGGGTCCTTGCAAAGGGTTTTTACTGTACTGTTGGACTGATTATTATGGATTATTTACAACTCTTATTTATTGTCTGGTATCTTGGTTTGAAGCTTAAGTGATTTGAAATCACTTAAAATGTGTCTACAGATAATGATACCATTTATTTCCAATACGAAATAAAATATCATCTGAATTCTTACAAAACTGGGCAATCATGAAATATACCTATTATATATTTTTGTTTTTCTTTTAGTTATAATTTAAAACTAAGATTAAATATCTAACTTTTTATTGTTGTCTGGGATCCTAGAATAATTCTCAGGTGATTTGAAATCATTTAAAAGGTGTCTATAGGTATATACCATATATTTCTAAACTTCTAATATCATACTCTCAATTCTAAATAAATTGGGCAATATATTAATTATAGATATATTTGTTAAAATTCTTTATTATTTATGGTATCCTTCTAAGGACCTTGCAAGGACCTAACTACCTTCGGCTGGCCGATGAAAAGACCAAATGTTTTTCTTATTCTTTATCCATTTATTGCTGTTAAATATACCGCTTCAGGTTATAAGTGTACCAGTATCCCTTTGTCATGTGCCGTTTGCCATTTGGCATTGCCATAGTTATTGACACTGCCCGGGGGCCTCAATTACTTATCAAGGTGGAGCCCCCGAAATGAGTGAGTGCCTGGCGGCTAAGAAGCTTAACGAAACGGCCCGAATGGTCTGGTGGCCCCCAGGCAGGAATCAAAGCCGCTAACACACACACCCACACACACAAACATACACGGCACTGGGTCCTGACTTGGGTGCATCTGTGTGCGAGCCCGAGAAGTATTAATGGCAAATCAAGGGCTCCAAGTGTCCCTGTACCCAAAACCGAACCGAAACAGAGTACCCCCCCCAACTATGTGTCTACTATATATGTATCTGTTATGTTTTTGCCAGCTAATATTCGAGTAATTTGTGTGTGTTTCTGTGTACTATTTGTTGTTCTCAATGTGAGCAATATATATCTATATATATATATATACGATAATATATAAACTAGTCCCCACACACACTGAACTACCCTATCCAGATCCAGCTCCGAACCTTATGAACTTACGCTAGGTGTAGAGACCAAAATTAAATTAGGGCTAGGAACTCGTTTCTTTTGACCATACTATGCAGATGTCTGATGATTTCAATGGCGGCGAGCAATCCGCAAAGATTTCCCCAAGCGCAAATTTTTGCATTGCCCCGCACCCGACCAACCAAACAACCGACATATAAGAAATTCTCATAAATTCCGACCTATAGAATTACGATTACCATAAAAACCAATAAAGAACGAGAAAAAAAAATGGGAGCGTAATGCGGGAAAGCGCAGGAGAAGTCGAGCAAACAAGCAGATGAGTCACCGAGTTTCCAGCGTACTGTAAGTTGTGGGAGGTGAATCGAGTAAGTGCCAGCCAAAGTATCTCAAAGTATCACATCCGAGGACAGCCACAGCTAGGGCCAGGCATCCCCCCTACATATTGCTGGGATCCCGAAACCCAAACTCAAACGATCACACAACCCCTTGCTGAGCATGTGAAGCATCCACACTCGACCAATCCCACATCCCAGCAATATCTTGGGGCTTGGCCTCTATCGTTAGTTATTTCCTAGCGTTAGATGAACATCATTAAGAGGTTTATCAGCTTCGGTTCCGTTTCGGTTTGAACTATCATTTGTAGTTGGCTTCAGACAAAACAGTAGAATCTCCCGAACCCGAACCCCAGCCCTAGATCCAAAAAGAAACGCCCGAAACCCATTCCAAAAACCATCTGCTATATATATATATGAAGTAATGGTGTGCCTGGGTGTACGTGTACATAAGTGCGTGAAAGTGCGTGTGCTTAAGAGTGTGCATGTCGTTGTAGTTGACGTTGCATGGCGCATGAAAAACTTTCTCTCTTAGCTACTTTCTCCGCCTTTTCAACTCCCTAGCAAATATTCCCCTCTTTTCCCCACCTCTCTTATTGGAATCGCCACGTATGTATCTAAGCATACCCCACCTAAAGCCTTAACTATCCTGTTTTTGTTATAGATCCTTTTTTATGTATCCCCTATATTCCCTCTATTCCTATATTTTCTGTCAAACCTCCTACCTAACTAACCCCAGGTTATCCTATATAACTAATAAATATGACTACTTCCTTGATTGCTTATATTTTTTAACCCATTCAAACCTCCCTTTTCGGTTTACGACCTATACCTCTACTTCTGTATTCCACTTCTTTCCTTAACCACCCCAAGGTTAAATATTAACCTCAGCTCAACTCTCAATAAAGCGGAATTGCTGAATTTAACTCTTTCCTTGCTTTCCTAACCCCTTTAGATTTTGCAACTTGCGTTTCCTGTATAGGTCTCCAATATAAATTTCCATTTCCGTCGTAAACTCCGTTAAATCTAACCATGCGGTTAGCTAACCCCAACCTAACCTCATTTCGTCATTGCGTCCGGCGAATGCGTCATAAATTTGTAATCAGTACGCGGACTGCGAAGGCGCAAGGACGACTTATGTCCGGTCGGAACCGGCTGCTATATCCAACTATCTGCCTCTCTTTCGCGCCACTTTGCGGCTTGCCTTTTATTAGTTTAAATATAGACTCCAGTTGGCTGTTTAAAGGGGCCCGCCACCCATCGAACCACCAACTCCGTGTCCGTGTCCGTGTCCGGGTTTTGTAGTCCTGGTGTCCTGGTGACTGGTGACTGGTGAGTGCCGCAATTGCGTCAAAGCCTCGGCTCCACCAAGCACACACATATACATATATACACCATTACATCCTGCACACATACTGGGACAATCTAATTGTCACGCCAAGCCAACTATTATGGAATTTTTCCTTTTTCCTTTAGTTTTCCTTTCTCTCGCTCTCCCTTTCTGGCCTTCTCCCCCATCCATGTACTCGTTCTTCCTGCTCGTGTACATATAAAGTGGGTCGTACCCATATAGTATAGCTTGCTATAGTATGGCAGAACTATATGTGGTATATGGATGGAGCGAGAGGGCGAATCGAACGATACGTTCCATAGAGTGACGTTAGAGTTCTTGTGCTTTTGGCTCTGGGCTCTTTAATTTTGCTTTTGGCATTGCACGTGTCCGCGTCCGTGGAAAGTAAAAACAGTACGTTTCAGTACCGACTAACCCCGAACGACTGAAATCGATAGGGAGGCGGATGGTATAGCATGGAAATGAGGATGGTGTTGTATGGGATAGAAAACCAAGAACCCAAAAAAAAAAAATATTGTCATACAATATGCATGGCGGGGCAATTAAAACTTGCCCGAACATGCAAGAATAATGTTTGACTGGGCAATCAGAAAATTTTTGAAAAACACAAAATGTCGACGAGATGACATTGAATTCCCCTTCCGGTTTTCCTGCTTGTGATTCTTTCCAGTTTTTCCAACCCTACCCTCCATACTTAGTATAGCCTAGTGTTTTGCGCACTCTAGCTAATCGTTTACCAACACTGGTTTTTGATTTCTATTTTGTAAGGGCATGCCACATATTTAAACACCCAAACACACACACATGGAAAGGGACTCCAACACTGGTTACCTCAGTTTCCTCTTCCGTTTCCATAAACATTTCCGTTTCCGTTTCGGTTCCACCTTATACATGAGTTTTGTTTCCGTTTCTTTGAACCAGACAAAAGAACAATGATGAATCAGAAAATAGATGAAGAAACCATTAAAATGATGAAGCGCCCAAAAAGGTCTTGAGCCAGATATTGGTCGTACCGACTTGGTGTTACTTTTGCATACCAACAGAATCGGCTGAGCCCCATAAGAACCCGACCCCAAGCTGCCTCCTACCCCTTTTGCTTCGTCCATCACCCTGTATATATACTTACTATATTAAATGTATATCACACTATATATATAAATATATATACATATATAAACAATCGTCTGATATGATATGCAAAACTGAAACCATCACAAAATTCTTTAATCCGAATCGAAAGCGCTTGAAATTGATGTTGATTTGTGTGCCGCTCACTTACTTCTGACTTATGATTTTCGATTCTTTCAATTCCGTTTTTTGAGTTGGATTCCGGGCTCAAAGAGAGCCGCGTGATTGATAGTGATTGATGTCTTGATGCGAAGGTCCTTGCTAATCTATTGTCGCCCAAACCGTTCTGTTTTCTCCGCACAACGCACACACTATACCGCACTGCAAACAGATCCGATATGATGACGAGGACGAGGATGAAGGTCCACAACCGGATCCTACACTTGAACAGGGTGTGCCAATACCTGTTCGATTGCAGGGCAGCTTCCCGCCGGAATTGGCCTCCACTCCTCTCGAGGATATCGATCCCTACTACAGCAATGTACTGGTAAGTCCACTAAACGATCTTATAGGAATCTTTAGGGAGGGATTATAACTTAATGGATAGCCCCAATATTGAAAACCCAAACCCAAATGATCTCTCTTGCAGACATTCGTAGTTGTAAGCAAAGGAAAAGATATTTTTCGCTTTTCTGCATCAAAAGCAATGTGGCTGCTCGATCCATTCAATCCGATACGTCGTGTGGCCATTTACATTCTAGTGCATCCATTATTTTCCCTATTCATCATCACCACAATTCTCGTCAACTGCATCCTGATGATAATGCCGACAACGCCCACGGTTGAGTCCACTGAGTAAGTGCGCACTATATGTATAGTCCCTATTTGACCATATACTCTATATGTAACCCCCGACTGAATACACTTGATTTGTTTCCTTTCCCTTAGCTAAATTTGATTTTCGAAACTTATTTCAGTTTATTTTGGTTTCCGTTTTCGGTTCGTCTTTGTTTATGGATATTTTACAACTAATGTTCTTATACTCTGTACTAGTCATATAAGTATATATACATCTATATACCTATGTGCTATATAATCGACATACCTAACTATATTTAAACCATATATTATACAATACTATATATGTAACTTTTTCGATATTTATGCAGATGTGTATTTAGGTCAAACTTGAATTTCTTTCCTCTATGATTTCAACAAAAGCCAAACGAAAAGAAATCGATAAACAGCAACAAACCAAAGTGCAATCGATATGTAAACACACCTGTACTATATCTTAATGAAAAAAAACCCATTTAACAGTCTTAACAATCTGAATAACCTACGCAGGCGAAGGTAAAGGTGTCGAGTAAAGTAAAGATCCTAGGTAGCTAAAACCATTTCCAGTAAGAGAACCTTGATATCATGATGCATTATAAATAGTAGCGGTACGACTTCTCGGTGATGGCCAGTCCATTGAGAACCGCGACCTGTTGCGAACATCCGCTCTTGTATGATATGACACCACTATCGCATCAAACTGCATACATACCTATCTTCTATATACCAACTATATCTGTATATCCTCATATCCGTACTCGTTTCTGTCGTGAGTAACTTTGCAATAATCGATCGTTCGACTATTCGATAACTCGATCGTAGAGCCACCACTACTCGCGTCCCAATCTCAGATCCATTCAAATTACTCATTCCAACTGTAAATTTGCCTCGCTAGTCCATCTGCGGTTCTGCAATCCAATCTCCCCCGACTATCCGAACCGACTATCCCGATCCGATCCCGAGCATCGGGGATTCGTAGAGGTCCAGCTGGGACTGAACCAGTCGAACTGGTTGGTTTTGGTTTGTTCACGTTTCGAATTAAATTCAATCGATATATCATTTGTAACTGAAGTAACTTTGATCCGTATATTCGATTGTAGTTCCTAGCTACCTAGTTTATTTATACATATATGTATCTTACCCATGCTTCGAACATATAACATAAAATTGAATTTATATCCATAGATAGAACATATGTAAATTGTTAAAAAAAATATATATATTAAGTAAACCTTTTAAAAACAAAAGTATTGTAATCTAAATCCCCTAAACTATTCCCAAACTAGAAGCAGAACTTAGTTAATTTTGACCATCGTATCTATGTAAATCATATGTAATCATAGCACTAGAAATAGTTACTTAAGATCCCTTATAATCGAATTTAGTTTTAGAGAACAAACCATTTTGTAAGAGTGTTGGTATCGTAATATTCACAGATCGCTCTGGGGGTAAAAGTAAAGTAGAGTTTTGTGCGATTCTTAGCTGACTTAGAAAACTTATAATCTTTAGAAGAGTTTAAGGATCCTTGGATCCAGTATATATATACATATATTTTGATATTCCATATTAGCTGGCAGGACATCTGTCTCTCGCTCTTTTCCCAATCGATTTGACATGTACTTTTAGTTAGACTCGATTCGAGTAGTGCTCATCTAGAAGTCGTTTAACCTAGAACATTGCGTATACGTAGTGGTAACTTGTACATAGGTAATGGTAAACCCTAGCGACAAAAATAAAAAGGAAAGCCAAGCGAGCAAAAATGCTTTGAAGAGAGCGCCCAGCGCCAAGAAAGCAATATGTAAAGTGAAAAGAGTTACGTCATTTTTCTAGCTGATATCAAAGTTATTGTCGCAGATTTGGTATCAGAATGGAGCACCCTGAGAGAGAGAGAGAGAGACAGAGCATTTAAGAAGAACTTTAAGGATAAGAATAAGGATGAGGATAAGGATAAGGATGAGAAGTAGGTGGCAGCCAGATGGAAGTGCAAGCGGAAGTGTCACTTGAACTTGGCTAAGGGTTGGACGCGTTCGAGGGTTCAGGAAGTAGGTGGATGGGGGTATGGGTGCCTAAACAGCAGGTGCTGCATAACTTGAGACACGCACACACACACACACCGGGAAAAAGGGAAAGTACGAATGTGCGGAATAACCAGAGAAAGGAAGGCCAAAGGACGCTTCTTAAAGTGGGTCGAGATGGGCATGCACTGAGGAAAATTTCAGTGCGAAATTATTACAAAGGATTCTATTAAAAAATGTATCTTATTTTCTTGCTTATGAGCTAGACACCCTATCCCACAGACTTTCTTTACTCTCCAGTTACTATGTATATAATAAGTATAGATAACTCTTACTCTGACAATAATTTTATTTCAAGGATAACATTATTTTTTTACAAAATCCAGGAATATATATTTTGACTGAGGGATTTTCGGAGAGTGTTTCGTTAGCCATTACATTCCAAATGCTCCATTGTTTTTCCCAGTGCAGGGGTCACACTTGTGCGGGCCCCTGAGAAAGACATAATACCTGCAATTAAAACACAGCTCGAGTGTCCTTCACAGGCATTGGGGCCTAGGTCAGACGCATTCCCAGTCCCCTTTTCCCAGTCCCCATTTCCACATTTTCCATTTTCCCTGCCCCCGCAGCGACTTTAAACTGTCTGAAATGCTGGCTGAAATCTGTCAAATGGCTAACTAGGCAGCGGGGGGCGTGGCACTGGGGGCGCGCCAACGGGGGGCGTGGAATGGGCCAATGGGCAAATGGGCGGGCAGTTTGGCCGAAGGTCGGCCTATTGATCTGACACCCACACGAACAGCTTCCCACACAAAAGCTGCTTCAAGCAGCTGGCCGTTAAGTATTAACCATTATTGACATTGACAATTGTCTATCTGCATCTGCAATTCAGTAATTGGGACGGTCGAGCACTTGCCAAGTGTCCTTTTGATGTGGAACGGTAGGCATTTCATACACATCTTCTGTACCAATGCAACCAAGGACTATCTGAAAAAATTATGAAATATTTATGGATTATAATTGGTGCATCTGGATAGTTTTTAGAAGTATTCATTAAATTGTGTTTGAATTGGGAGTTAAAACTTAAGTTGGTAAGGGTTTACATTTTAAGGAAAACTATTCCTAAGGACGAGCAGCTGTTCTTAACTAAGTAAGGATATTAAAGTAAGAATTTATAAAATATTTAGGGATTATATTTGGTGCATTTTTTATATTTTGATGAATATATTTTAGGGAGTACTTATTTAAAAGTTAAAATTGTATGGAAATTAGTAGGTAAGGCATATAAGCATGAAATGGCTATGGGTCTCAAACATTTATGGAGAATTATTCCTGAAGAGTAGCCATAAAGTATCAATATTAAAATTCAGTAAATTAACCAGACTTACGCTATAATTTGCAAATGTTGGACACAGTTCATCCGAATGATTTTCTTATTATGGAACCTATCCCTTTCCCAAATTCTCGGTGGGTGTGTTTGTGTGTGCACTGGCTTTTTGGGGTTCTAGTTAAATGGATGGTGGTAGAGGTACATCAATCTAAAACACAAGCATAGGCATTTTGTGAATCGCAATCAGATACGGCTACTATCGTTGAACTCATTGAGGTTGTGGCACCATTCACACAAGCGGTTAGGCTAATCACTTAAGTTAGTTTTAAAACGTACGTTTATACTAAAATCTTGGAGAATGATCTTGGAGAACTGCGATAAAGTCTGTCGATGGAGGCGTATATGGTAAATCAACGCTGGATCGAAAAGTGCCTGTCGACTGGAGAGCACATCACAATTGGGAGCCGGGAGTGTAGCCTACTTTTAAGCGCCATTTCTCCTTCACTTTGCAACTACTCTATTTTAAATATTTGATTTTCGATTTCTATGTAACAGTTAACCATCTATTTTCTTGGTCAACCTTTACCAATCGGTTTTAGTTTTTGTGTGTCTGTTGTTCTTCTTTTTTTTTGTTTGTCGATGACCCATCATCAGGCAGTCTAACCAAAAAAAATAAACATTTCAAGCCATATTTGAAGTGCATAAGAACCGAGAAGACAACAACAAATTGCATTTCGAAATCCAATTCGTTTTTAGGGTGATATTCACCGGAATCTACACATTTGAATCAGCTGTTAAAGTGATGGCACGAGGTTTCATTTTATGCCCGTTTACGTATCTTAGAGATGCATGGAATTGGCTGGACTTCGTAGTAATAGCTTTAGCGTGAGTTATATAAACCTATATATAATAATATCTTACTTATTACAATTGAATAATAAATTATCATCCATCCGTATATCATGCTTTCAATACCCATTGCTTACTGCTTTAGCACCGAAAATAATGTTTAAGAAAATGATCAAATAAAAAACTATATAAAAACTAGATCTTAACTTATAAGATAAAAAAACTCTCCTTATTTTGAACTATTATAATAATTTTGATAATGATGTTAAGATGATTAGTATCAGCTTTAATTCTAATTGGTTAACATTATTATCGATGTTGAGCAGTATTCTCCACTCTCGCACCAATGTATCATCTATAAGAATCAGTTCTTGTTTTTTGTGTTGCCTTTGAATTACGATTTGCTTTCGTATTGGTATCTTAACTGAATCATCCATCGTATAAGCCGTAGTCTCACGAATCTGACTAGCAGACCCTCCCGCCCAACAACCCACTCAACCCGAACTTCCTTTCCCACGCCATGTTTTCCATTTCAGTTTTATACATTTTCATTTTTTTTTCTGTTTCAAGTTTACAGTCAGTTGACTTCTGATTACAAATTAGCGGTATTTGCATACAATATTTATTATTATTATCAATTTATGCAAAACATTCACACACACACACCCACGTACACACTTCATTAACATAATCATGGCTGTGCCAGTACTATATGTGTGTATTTATGAGTGTGGGAGTCGCGCAATTAGCAGCATCAAGTTGAGTCAATCAATGAAGGCAAAAAAAAAATTGAATAAAACGGAAAAAATGAGGCTGAATGCCGAAGGCGAATGAATGCGGCGTTAACCGATTTACAGACATATGCATATATGCATATTTTGCTGGTCCATTAAATGCAATCAAAGAGACAGCTGTGTGTTCTATCAGCATCAGCAGTTACATAAATGAGCTCAAAATATGAGAAAGCGCAAAAAATCAAGTAAAATGCACACGTTTGTCGTAGCAAAGATACATGAGCATGGTCCACTAAGCAGGCAAATCAGTTAAAAACTTTAAATTCTTAAGGATAAATACTACATTTGTAACGATTTTCAAATACAATTTTACCAAATTAATTAATTTACTAATTTACTTAGGAATATCCATTCAAAACTAAGAATCAATGCATTAAATTTCTTAACATTCAATTTTAATAACTGTAAATTGTCTTAGGTAAATTGTGGCTCATTAATCCCAAACAAATCTGGTCACTCTAAAAATGTAAATTAGCTTAGTTTTTGTATAGCTTTTTGTTCTTTAGACATTATTAACTCTGAAATTACTGGCAGACATTAAAAAATCTATATAGGGAAAGCTGTGTGGGTACTTTTTCGGAATTAATCAAAGGGGAGAGGTCAACGGAAGTATTCCAAAGTAGGAGCTGAGCCAAATTAAAATGAACTGGGGCACAAGACCAAAGAGCAAATGGAATTACATTCATTAGAGTCAGCAGTTGGAAAATAATAAAAACGGCAAAAAAAAAAACAGAAAATAGCAGCCACAAGAAAACAGCCATAGAATTCTATAGAATTATACGATACACGCGAGGGAAACAAAAAAAGTCGCGTTAACGGAGCATTTTTATTGATTTATTTTTGCCGTTTCTAATGACGCGCCCAACCAAACACATACACATATAAATAATATATACACAAACACACACACACAGGCACATGCCAGGATTTTCTACGATTATTTCACACACACACACACACAAAAAGCCATAAACAAATTTTTGGTCGCTCAAGTTAATTTTTGTTCCATTTCCCATCTTTTGATTATTTTTCTCTTTCTGAAATTACCGCTTTCCCTTGTTCTTTTTGTCGTTTCGTGACAATTCCATTTCATTGCTTTCTGCTTCATTTTAAGCATTTATTGGAGCTGTCTATTTGCCATACTTTTTTTTTATTTTTCCTTTTTTTTTCTTTTTTCTGGGTGGCCCACTGAGGGGAGGGGTGGGATATGGGGTGACTGGGAGGTGACTGGGAGGTGACTGTGTCGTGCGGCACATTTGCCTGGTGGCGCCGCCAGGACGCGCAGCCTTGGCTCGTCAATGCCAGGCACGACATTTTAAAGCTCCGGCTTAAAGCGTTCGTGTTTTTATATATTTTTTTCTTTTTTCTTTTTCCCACCCGGACGGAGAGCGATATTCGCCGAATGCAGGCCACTCGTTTCCCCACTTGATTTTTTCTCACCCGAAAGCCAGATTTCGAAAATAGGTCCTATACCATTGTTAAATCGCATCCAATTAGCAAGACTGAAAAAGGGTATTTGTAAACCCGTTACTCTAGATTAAATGGGTATACTAGATTTTTCGGAAAGTGTGTAACTGGTAGAGGGAAGCGCTTCCGACCCTATAAAGAATATAAATTCTTGATCAGAATTACTAGCCAAGTCGAACTAGCCATGTCCGTATGTCCGCTGAGATCTCGGAAACTATTAAAGCTACGAAGTTTATTTGGCATGCAGATTCTTGAGGTTCCTGCGCAGCGAATTTTTCCGAGATTGAACACTTTATTTGCCTATAACTTTTTAATAAAAGGTCTGATTTGAACAATTTTTGAGGTGTATATGGGTATTGATAATCAGAAAAAAATCTCATTTACACTTTTAAAAAATATTAGCCGATTTAACTTAATATTAAATTCAACTTAGTTGCTTAGTTTTTGAAACAACAAATGAGTATTCTAAAGACGGTTTATGTTATATGTGTAACCTAATATTGCATAAATCTGTTATTCATTTAAAATAATTTTGGTGATAGACTTACTTTTTTAATATTGTTTCTTGACAAGATGGCACGTGGAAATTATCTTATATTACACCATTCAAAGTAACTGTGAAGCTAAGCAGAGTTAGTGATACCGAATAAAAATTCCTTAACTTAAAATTTACCTCTCTTTAGATCTTATACTCATAACTGTCCTCTTTGATCCGATATCTTCGTTTAACACCGAACCGTCTTCTTCATTTGAACAACTTAATTGGCTGTTCCATTGGTATTTGACGTCGTGGAAATGTTCTACTTAATATTTAGTAAAATTTGCTCATCTTCGGAACAACTTTCACCAGTAAATGACATCCTCGAATCTTTCTGCTCGTCAAATATTGAAATGCTCTCATCAGAATATTCGCTTTCAACTGTAAGATCCGAAGACTTTGAATCTTTCTCCATTTTTCCCATGCCATTGGAAGGCGTAGATTTAATTCCATTAGAATGTACCATGCTTGCCTCTGGTCTTAAAATATTAAAGACCATAGCATCTTCTTCATCAGAATACGATAAAACTTCCACCATATTTTTGGTTTGATTCTTGGACGTTTGCTCCTGTGGGGCTTTGATTATTTGGTCCACAAGTTTCTGTTGGCATGTTTGCTCTTTTTCCTTTTTAAAAACTAATTCAGCAGCAGCTCTTATTATTTCGTCTGGGAACTCGTCTTTCACAAAGAATCGGTGTCCACTCTTCTGGATAAATCCCCGTTGAACGCCAAGATGCAAGGCAATCTCTATGCTGTCCTTGAAGTCTTTACTCTGAACACCAAGATTGCAGGCTATGTGTTTCACAATTTCCCGGAAAGTCAAGGGTTCGCCCTTTTCCCGAAGAGCAGCCATAATCAAGCCACCGGCTATAGAAGAATAAGCCATTTCACAAAAATGATAAACTATAAATTTCGATTTTTTCAAAAATTTCTTGTTTGCTGTTTAATAGTGTTTGGCTAATAAAAGAAAAAGTTAAACACTGACACTGAAATCACTGCTTACTTCTGAAAATATAACTACAATTTTAAGAAACAAGAAAGGAAGCCTACTTTGACAGTTTATATGCCCTTGCAAGTCGTTCAGGGCCTTCCGATTTTTTGAAAATTGAAACATTTTCACAGAAATGTTAAGATAATTGAACATTTCAATTTACTAGCGTATACGTTTTGCCAATAACGAAATATAATGATTTTTGTATAATTTTGACATAATTTCTGCGATCCTTCCTATGGAAGCCATATGATACAGTAGTGTAGTTTATCCGAGACATCTTCAGAGATCTTAAAAGGATTTGTGAAAAATGCGAAAATGGGTCAAAAAATAAATTTCCCTTAAAATGATTGGGATCGTTAGCATAAGTAGCGAGCTGCTCTTTTTGCTGTACGCCTTAATTTGGCTAAACTACGATTGAAAAACTGGATAGAAAAATAGTATTTTTGACCAAATCTGAATCCCATTTTTTCGACCTAAAAATGCACTCTTTTGGCTGCTATAACAAAAATAATCGTCAGATCGAAGAATGCCATACATCGTTAAAATCGTTGTTTAATTTCCAATCCTGAAAAAAAAACCTGAAAATTTATTTAATTTTTGACATTTTTCGAAAAAAATCACGATGCACCCCCTGTAAATATTTACCTTTAATAGATAAAATCGTTAGCATAGGAAGCAAGCTGTCCAAAACAGTCGGTGTCTAAGCTGTACGCCTTGATTTGGCACTTTTATTGAATATCACATATACGAAAAAGGATAAGTAATAGTAATTTTACTTTTTGTCAGATTTAAATTTTCAAGCCCTTCCCAAGACCCTAAAACAATTAAGCAAGTGATCTCTTAGATCTCTAAACCTTACCCATTACATTATCCCCCGTTCACTCTGTTTTTTATCCAAAAACTGGCAATTATACGACAGAACTGCACGCAATGGCAGACAAATCGATAAATATTCATGAAAAATAAATGGAACCGCTGTTGCTAGTGGCACTTTCAGTTTGTAGGTGGTGCACCCACCCACCGGCGAGAATTCCCAAAGGATGACGTACGACGGGTCACAGCAAACCAGCGAACCAGCGAACTTCTGGTTGTGGAGGGACCCAAGCGGGCTCTATTAATATGCTTTTTTTATGGCCGGCCACGGGGAGAAAATTGATCGGTGGGCCCCCAGGACGGGTGGGAAGTGGCCCAGGTGAGGCTAATTTACAAAATGTGTAATAAACTTGGCCCGGCCGCAGCTTTATTTATTATTTTAGTACCTATGTTTACAGGCATATGTCAAAGTTCGCATTCATTTGGGCTTCTAACGGCATACATACACTCCTCACCCTTCATGCTTACAAACACACACTCGTTTGATTTACCTTAATTGCTTTGTAAAGAACAACGAAAGAATAATGAACCCACAACATTTGTAATTATATCGAATGCATTCGAAACCGATCGAATCGAAGCAAATTCTATAAATAACCATAACTGATTGCATGTCTATAGCACTCTAATTACTAATACTCGATGACATTCTGTGTGTATATCCGTATCTGTATCTGTATCTGCTGACCCTGCCATCAAATTACGTCCCTCGACAATCGACTATCGACGATCGATCAACGAAATCGAAATCTATTACCGATCCGCAGTTATGTGACCATGGGTATAGATTTAGGTAATCTAGCAGCCCTGCGAACGTTTAGGGTGCTGCGAGCGCTTAAAACCGTAGCCATTGTGCCAGGTATGAAATATGAATACGAAAGTCCTTAACTATATTGTATTATCTCTCTGAATGATAAGAATAGTGTGTACTAAACCCCATTAAATACTTACCTTTCAACTGACAGGCTTGAAGACCATCGTCGGCGCCGTCATCGAATCGGTGAAGAATCTGCGCGATGTGATAATCCTCACCATGTTCTCCCTATCGGTCTTCGCGCTGATGGGCCTGCAGATCTACATGGGCGTGCTCACGCAGAAGTGCATCAAGAAGTTCCCGCTGGACGGCTCCTGGGGCAATCTGACCGACGAGAACTGGGACTATCACAATCGCAATAGCTCCAATTGGTACTCGGAGGACGAGGGCATCTCATTTCCGCTGTGCGGCAATATATCCGGCGCGGGGTAAGTTGTGCAGTTTGTCCGGGACATCTAAAGAGATCTTAAAAAGATCTCACACAAAAAAAATGCATTCAAAAAGATCAAATTTATTTTCCCATGGCTAACTTATTACGAACCATTTCATTTACCATTGAACAATGTTAAATTGATAGTGAAAAATGTAATCTTATATAAAAATAGGTCTCAATTGAGCCCGAACCGAACTAAACTCTGTTCTTTCCTCGTTTCTTTCCATGAACCAATCGATCTCCAATCGATAACCGACCCAATCGATATAAACTGATATAATACGATCCCAGGCAATGCGACGACGACTACGTGTGCCTGCAGGGGTTTGGGCCGAATCCGAACTACGGATACACCAGCTTCGATTCGTTCGGTTGGGCCTTCCTGTCCGCCTTCCGGCTGATGACACAGGACTTCTGGGAGGACCTGTACCAGCTGGTGTTGCGCGCCGCCGGACCATGGCACATGCTGTTCTTTATAGTCATCATCTTCCTAGGTTCATTCTATCTTGTGAATTTGATTTTGGCCATTGTTGCCATGTCGTATGACGAATTGCAAAAGAAGGCCGAAGAAGAAGAGGCTGCCGAAGAGGAGGCGATACGTGTAAGTAGACACCCAGACCACTGCAAGTGCCCCAGACAACTGCAACAGCAACTGCAACTGCGGCTGCAACTGCCACTGCAACTGCAGCAGCAAGTGCCATGCAGTGGGACAAGAACAGACAGTGAACATTGAACAGTACAGAACCACGAACTATAATACCCGAACAATATACGATTACCAATACCAATACCACACAACCTCAACAGCCAATGGTAGATAATTTCAATTTCGATTGCTGCGGGAACTCGATCGAATATTGAAAATATCTACCCGTACCACTGACTACCACAGCAACAACCACAACAGACTTGCTTTTTTCTTTTGTATGTACCATATGAATATCAATATGAATATGAATATGAATATGAATCGACTACTCGTATGTATATCGTATGCCCTAATATCGTATGATTTAGCTAATTGTCTATCAAACTTAATCAACTATCGCAACATCTTATCAAAACTACTATCTCTCCTGTACTTTTCAATCATTGTATAAAGTGTCGAGCTCGGTTCCATCTGATACCGTCATCTCGAACCAGTAACTGCTCTATAAGACCTGGTCTTAATCACAAACCATTTAGCTTTTAAAGTTCCTGGAACTTGCCCTTTTCTCTCTCTCTCTCTCTCCATGTATACTTATATATTTTATCTTGTATGTAAACTCTTTGGAGATATATGTACTCGTACTTACTTAATATATACTTATGATTTTAGTGCACCATTAGTTCCAATCCTGTCACTAGTCACAAACGATTAAAGAAAATAACAAAAGAAGAAATCAAATTACTCACAACCTATACTTACTATATATATATATATATAAATATGTATCAAATAAGATCCAGCCCTGAACCCAGTACTCGAATCCCAAGACCTCAATACCCGTCCTATGCCAAAAAGAAACGATCCTCAAGACCCAGCACAGCACCTTACTGTATGATTTCATTTGATCTGTGTACCTATCAACCATTACCGATCAAAGTAGCGTAGTTTTGCTTTTCGTAATGTACCAATTCCGAAACCCCAACCGAATGACCCGATCCCTAACCAAAGAACCTCCTCCCCAAAGACCCCCGAACCTCCGGATGTGTGAGATTGCGGAGTGATGGGACTGTACATAATGGCTAATCACAATAACAATTGTTGTAGGAAGCGGAGGAGGCTGCCGCCGCCAAAGCCGCCAAGCTGGAGGAGCGGGCCAATGCGCAGGCTCAGGCAGCAGCGGATGCGGCTGCCGCCGAAGAGGCTGCACTGCATCCGGAGATGGCCAAGAGTCCGACGTATTCGTGCATCAGCTATGAGCTTTTCGTTGGCGGCGAGAAGGGCAACGATGACAACAACAAGGAGAAGATGTCCATTCGCAGCGTCGAGGTGGAGTCGGAGTCGGTGAGCGTTATACAAAGACAACCAGCACCTACCACAGCACACCAAGCTACCAAAGTTCGTAAAGTGAGCACGGTAAGTATTCCGAGCGCAGGCGCAGCATTATTCTTTACCTTCCTTTCCATTCCAGTCTTTTGTGTTCCGTTTCGTTCTGTTTCGTTACATTTGACGAGTTTCCTTTACCTTTACCTTTTCCGTATCCGTATCCGTTGTTATCGTTCCCCTATTCCGTTTCGGCTTTTATCGTTTTCCTATTCCTTTTCGGTTGATACGTTTTGGTTTTGGCTTTTGCGTTTTGGGCTCTACTGTACCCAATGTCTTTAGACCTAGATGTGTTAACTGTACTTGTGTTTGGTTGGCCCGATGGCCTGAAGCATATAAATCTATACATATATCCTTTGCCTTCAGTTGCTTTTGGTCTCGATTAGGTTGATTTTCCGTTGCCTTTTCGTTATTCTTACCGACTCCTCCGCAAGGGTCTCCACGTCTTCCGATCGCTGCCTATCGATCACCGATCACTGGGCTCCAGTTTCAGCTTGCGTTGCAGCTTCGTGTCCTTCTATGAGCTATCGATTAATTGCGTCGCCGCTACAGCTACAGTTAGAGCTACAGTAAAAGTTACAGTTATAGTTACCGTTACCGCTACCGTTACATTGCCATTGCATTGTTATCGACCCTGGGTTCGCCTATCATTTCTTTTATCGTTTCTCGTCGATTTTCCTTTGATTAGTTTGATCATTTTGTTGGATCTCTCCCTCTTTTGATTGGATCGTACATTTCGTGCCTTATATGCTGTATAAACTTACCCGTATGATCATGCAACTAGATATTGAATTCTTTCATACCTGTATATGGATATAGTGTTAGTGCGTGTCGATATGTATGTATGTACTACGATCTTTACCTATCTCTATACCTCTCTTTCGCTCTTTCTTAATTTTGTAAATTTTAGTTTTCTTTTTTTGTTAGATTTCCGTTCTTTATGTGCATGCGAGTGCTTGTGAGTGCGTGAGTGTCGGTGGGATATAGAATCCCGGAAAGTTTTGTAGTTCTATCGTAGGAGCTTTTGACAATGTTTTTTCCATTTGCCTAGCTTCCGATTTTGAATTGGTTTTTTATTTAGTCCTTGATTTCGCGTGATTTCGTAATTTCCATTATAGTTTTTGTTCAGATTTTGGTTGGGTCATTGCTCGGAATGCTTTAGGTAACATCGAAAAACTCGTTATCTACATATATTATGGATTCTTTAATAATTGGCTTCGAACTGCATTCTGCTACGCTCGACATTTCAACGCAAGCTAACAAAAACCGAAAAGATCCATAGGCTTCAAATTCGTCAACGTGGCTTGACCATTGGACCTGTGCTTAAAGGCTTTGAACCCATACAAAAACCACTCAGCTTTTCGGTTTTCGATTTAAATTGATTTTCGGTTATAGTTTCGGTTTCGGTTTTGAGTGCTATCCTTGATCCCTGACTTTGGTCACCGATCAATGTTTTCTTTGAGTTAAAGTTGAGTTCCTGTTCTTGTTTCAATTTCTATTAACGTTCTGTTCCGATATTTGTTGATATATTGTACGATAGAGTTTCAGATTTGATAATTTCTGTGGCTGCATAACCATTGCATGCATTGATCGAACGTTACATTTACCGTTATAGCATCTTTAAGTGTATAACAATTATAACAGTTGAAACACGCCACAAGCGAAATCCGAAAATTAGAATCCATCGATTGGAGAACGTTGCCATTCGTGCAATCAGCACCAGATCGACTAAAATCAAATAGAATCAAAACGAATCGAACCGATCACAATACCTATCGGGCGAGCGATAACCAATTGCGATATCCACCGATCTTTCTATTTCTTGCTAAGCTAACTATAGATACCGCTTACGACACACGAACTTTTTTGGCATATGGCAAGCGTTCGCTTTTCCGCACAGCTACACATACACGAACACGCGCGCAATTGGAGGATTTCCGCGATAGCCGATAACCGATAACCAATAACCGATGATTTGCGGTTCCCTTTATTAAGCAGCAAACTCTCGAATGTTGAAAATGTCTCGGCTTCTTCCGTTTGAGTCATAAACCCGCTAACACAGCAAAGAACTGCCTTGAATAATTATGAAAAACACATTTTCACACGATATATACCTAACCGATATACTGATTGATAACTCGCTATCGCTATCTCGCTCTCGCTCGCTCGCTAGCTCGTTCTAACCAACCATCAATTTTGCTCAGGGCAGCCTCAGATAGTTTTCGATGAGAGCAGAAACTATTTGGGATTGACCGTTGATCGTATACCGATAAGTCCCCAGTTGCCTCAGGTAGGTTGCTCTCTCTCTCGCTCCTTCTCTCTCTCTCTCTCTCTCTCCCACACACACACTCTATCTCTCTCCAACTTTCTCTCTGTCTCGCTCTGTTAAACCAACCAAGCGAACTCACACAGACAAGAAACAACACGCGTACACCCCCTCAAAAAAAAAAAGTCTGACTAGGACTTGCAGCAGAGCCAAGATCTATGTAAAACCGTCCAGACATACCGTGTAGATATTATATATCCTTACTTTCGATCCGCTAGCCGCCCCCTGCCATGCCCGCTGAGTATGCAACGAAAAGAGATCGAAAGCGCAGTAGAGTTGTGAATTGAAACTAGAAATGCATCCGTACGAAGTTTGGAAGAGATTTGCCTAGAGTTGATTGTAGAACTTACCGATTAACACTTGATTCTGATTTTCGATTATTTTCGTTACCGTTATTGAGCCGGCCATTCCGCTAATGGGACCGATTTCCCAAACGACGTTCGTTCAAACCTTTTCTTTTTCCGTATTATTCCATTGAAGTTTTCTCTTTTGTTGGTTGATAATTCTTGATCCAAGAACTGTATAAGTATAACCCTGTTAAGAACGTTTCAGTTTTTTCGTTCTCCAACCCCGACCCTTAAATATTTAGCTAAATTAATCAACCTTTTAATCAAACGCTACGCTGAAGTAGAACCGAAATCACACCACAAATTTAAAACTCAAATCAACCGTTCACAAAACTACAAACTGTAAAATAGTTGCTATTCTATCATGTTAAAAGGAACACATACATACAAACATAGTGACACAATATGTATACACACAACAGACACAGAAGAAACACACACACAAACTCAAAAGTATTCTCACCTCTAAACGCTCCAAGTAATAACTTTTCCTTTAAATCGTAGACAACCAAACCGAATAATTTATACCAAAACAAAAGAAAAGAAATTGTGCAAAATATAAATAAACATTTATCCATAGATAATAAAACCGCAATCGAGGAATATATATATTTTATTTGATTCATTTTTCTTTTTCTTCTTCTATTTATACTTTGTTTGTACAACAAATGAAAAAAATGAAAACGAACCGAAAAAAAAAACAAAACTTAGACATCCTTATCCTTACCTGGTTCACCGTTTAACATACGCAGGGGATCACGTAGTTCTCACAAGGTAAGCGCCCAACACACACACTCGAACACACCACACACCCACTGACACCTCACACAGATACACCGTCCACTGACACAGATACACATCCACGGATTTGCGTTACACACGTACACGTACACCCTCCATCATCGGCCAGTCCCAGTCGATCATGTCCATGCGGATAAGTACTCGATCCCCGAACCATGGAATTGGCCATAGATCATCACGAATCACAACAGCCGTCGACCATCTGAGATTCACCGTCCTAGTCTTAGTCAAGTAACCGTATCTCGTAGGCAGTTGCTACCGTACAGCGTTTAGAACATATAGTTTTCGAAACGGTTTCCATTCAACACTTAACGAAGACTTCGGATCATTCTCCATATAAGCGACTAGTTAGCGTAGCACCCGTAACATCTGTAATTCTCCGTAATACCCGAACATCTTTAGATCTGAGAGTCATATGTGCATATATGCACCTACCCATATCGATAAGCTTTCGCATTAGCATTACCATAACATACCCATTTGTCATACTCACCTAATCGTCTATTACTGTGTACATGTTTTATGGTTTTCTAATCTTCGATAATTGTTTCCTTGTTTGGCCTTGTTTTATGTATCGCTGTATCCTCATATCCCTATATATATATACTGTTATATATACTATCGTGCATATCCATCTAAAAACGTATAGTCGTCTAACTAACTGTACTGCTCTTTACTGTACTCGGTTGTAAGTGTGTCTGTCTCTGTGTGCCTGTCCTCTGTTCCTTTGTACACCTGTACACCAGACTCTGGTTAGCTTGATCTCAGCAGTGGGCTTCGATGGGAACAGTTCTCGTCCGGATGTCACTCATCTCACGGTCACTGTTACACGGTCACTGCCATAGTCGCAACTCACTGTCACGATCACGGCCACGCTCACGTTCACCTTCACTTTCATGTCTCAATGTGCATTCCTTTTGATCGTTTTGCCTTTTTTTCTTTTTTTTTCTTTCTTTTTATTTTTTTATTAGTTTTTATTTGTTAACTGTAAGTATCTGTGTAAAAATGTCTATGTATTCGCAAAACAAACAAAAAATACATATCTATTATAAAAATGAAGAAAATCTAGAACTGAGTCATAGTTCAAAATCTGTCTGTGGTCCGTTTAATAACCGGATTCAGCTCAGATACATTTGATACTACCTGAACTGAGTTCGTTGAAAACTCATTTGATTTATTCTTCCGCTCTTCATTTGTTATTGTTGCCTATAATTGCTCATTTCAATCCCATCGATAACGAGTCTTTCTGTTAGAAAAACAGACCAATAGGCCGAAAGAATACCCCGCGTCATAACTATCACCACTCTCGGCAAATACCACCTAATAATACCTACTCCTACTACTGCCCCCTACTGTATTACTACTTTGTAATTACTAATTACGACTATATATCAAAATATATATATAATATACATGCTGTGTGGCTTCACTGAATGCGCGAGTGGTGCGTGTTTGTGTGTGCGCGAGTGTGCTTGTGGATGCCAGTGTGATTAGGCCGATAAACTAACCGATCCTAACTCTGTAACCCTGTACCCATGACCAGTACACGATACGGAACGGACGTGGCCGCTTTGGTATACCCGGTAGCGACCGCAAGCCGTTGGTATTGTCAACATATCAGGACGCCCAACAGCACTTGCCCTATGCCGACGACTCGAATGCCGTCACCCCGATGTCCGAGGAGAATGGGGCTATCATAGTGCCCGTGTACTATGGCAATCTAGGTGAGAGGTTTCCCTTCCCTTCCTTAATACCATCTCAAAACTTCATTCATATCGCTTCCAGGCTCTCGGCACTCATCGTATACCTCGCATCAGTCCCGAATATCGTATACCTCACATGGCGATCTACTCGGCGGCATGGCCGTCATGGGCGTCAGCACAATGACCAAGGAGAGCAAATTGCGCAACCGCAACACACGCAATCAATCAGTGGGCGCCACCAATGGCGGCACCACCTGCCTGGACACCAACCACAAGCTTGAGCATCGCGACTACGTAAGACCTTTCAGGCCCTTAAAAGCCAATCGATTGTTTTGTTATCGACTAAATAACCGATTTTATTTATAATTGCAGGAAATCGGTCTGGAGTGCACGGACGAAGCTGGCAAGATTAAACATCATGACAATCCTTTTATCGAGCCCGTCCAGACACAAACGGTGGTCGACATGAAAGGTAGCACATTTTCGATTATTTTATGTATCGTTCAAGATTGATTTAACCAAATGTGCGTTTAAGTTTCATGAGAGATTTCAGATTTGAGTACTCCATTGTGTTTGTAATATCTCTTAAGCAAACGATTAAAATGGAAAAGTGCAATTTCATCGATAGTTTCGATAACACATCCCCTCCTTTGTTTTCTGCTCCTTTCAGATGTGATGGTCCTGAATGACATCATCGAACAGGCCGCTGGTCGGCACAGTCGGGCAAGCGATCGCGGTGGTAAGTGAATTGATATATGCCTGCCGATAACTGTATCTGTTTACTATCGATTAATCTCCATTCCGTTCATTCTGTACATTATTGCATCCCAATCGATATCGATCGTCGTCTCTTTTGTGTTACCCTTACATACATGTGCATTGTTCCATTTGGTTTCCGTTTCCTGTTTCGTTCGTTATCATGTAAATACAATACTGTAAACAGCCTTGTGAGAGCGCGGGGAATAAAATGATTGTCAGTCGATTTTCCCCGACAATCTCCTCTTTTAACTAATTTACATTTTTGGCTTTACAAAACCAGCATAATAGCTTAAGATCATCTCCAGCCCAGATTTCTTGTCCAAATATAAAAAAAAATCCAATGGATTGACAGTTTCATTGACCTGGCCAATTTGGCTGTCTCGACAACGATTTAATTTAATTTCCCCTCATGGTTTATGCATTTCATTTTGCATTTTGATTGCGGTCTTGTTTTGATTTTATCGGTTCGCATGCGTTTTGTGACCCCCGCCTGTCCGAGTCCTTCGACCAATTGATTGATTGATTGATTGATGGCTGAAACGAGTGACCAAAAGTGTCCTGCTCCTAGAGCCCGCATGCGGCCTGCATCCTGTGCATCCCGTGCATCTGTCGATTGATAGTTGATAACTGATTACCGACAATTGATAACCAATTCAAACCAATCGCGATGCGTGTCCCTTTTCGTTATATATATATTTCACCCATTGCATTTTCCTTTGTGTTCTGTTCTGCATTCTATCTCTACGCTCGAGTGCATACATATATATATAGAAATATTTTTGATTCCACTTTTCGATTCCTCTGCTCTGAGCTGAATAAAAAACATAATCAAGCAAACATATTTTATATATATACCTATGCATATAATTCCATATATATATATACTCCAATGAATGACTTCTTTGACTCGTCCATTTTATTTAATGCCGTTGATGCTAACAGAAGAAAGCGAACAAGCAAAAACAAAAAAACAAACAAAATGCCAAAACCTATACAAAAAATGTTTAAAAACAAGCTAAAACAAAAGTCCGTTAAAAAAAGAGCTGCCCGCTAGCCACACACACACAGCCAAACAGCCACAAGTATATAATTAGAGTTCTTTCCCCACAAACACACTTACACGGGCGTACAGCGGGAGAGCAAGGACTCTCTTAGAGCCTTTCTGTACTCTCTCTCTCTCTCTTAAACTTTAAGCTTTCGCAATTCGCACGCTGCTGATGCTGCCACCCACACAGAAACACCCCAAACACACACACACACACACTGAGCAGCCGGAGAGGTGACGAAAACTCCTACTCACACTTTCCAGCCAGCTGTGACGTCACGAAGGCTGCTTTTTAGAGAGGCTCAACTTGACACATACGTTTCGAAAGAAAGTTTCGAAAATACCAATAAAAAAAAAAGCAAGCAAATCGCGAAATTCGGTTTTCTTCCTATGTTGGTTACAATGCCTTTTCTGTATTACCTTTCGTTACCTATTTCTTTAGTGCATGCCTTAACTAGTTACCTGTATATTTCTAATATTTTAGACAAATTCCTGACCAAATATTAGATAATTTCGTTTTTATAAGTAATTTTTGTCATATTTCGTAGTTATTTTGCATTTTGGCCTCAAAAAAAAAAAACAATAGTTCATTTGTTAATACTAGAGCATGCTTTTGTTGAACAGTTCGTAGAGCATTATTTAGACCAATCACATTCACTGTTATCTAATGATTTCCATGATTATGAAAAATATATAAAATGTGCTTAGAACTAATTTAACTGGTAATTGAAGCGTCGAGCAACGATTGTATTGGAATATAATTCGAGTAGTATCATTTGCGAATTTTCAGAGTGTCCGATTTGGTTCCGATAAACGGAGGAACTGAACCCAGCCGAAAACCCCAAAGTTATAGAGTAGTTAGTAATCGAAATTAGTCGCCTATAGACTTTCAGCTTTTAGTAGAGAAATTCAAAGATTATGTAGCTGAATAACAAATGGACGGTAGAATCTTCGGGTACCGAAGTGGTGATATTCTTGCCGTAAAGCTGGCAAAAGGTCGAAAACAACCTATGTAGAAAATCATTACTTACTCTTAGCAATGTTTTGTAATTCAATGTAATATTCGATGTCTATATTCTCAAAATGCTTATTAATATTTACTTCTATATTATGAGGTAATACTAATTATAATAACAACCCTAAGTGAAATTTTTTGTTGGCTGAATAGTTATTATGTTTTAGTGATCTATTTATTGTAGTATGGTTTATAGTGGGATGGATGGTATGGTAAGATGGTATCTTATTTTCTCAATCGATAGCTTGTCAGCTCTACACAAGAATATCAATCAGTTCCCGCCAAGTAGTTCAGTTGAGTTAAGATATATCGTACCTTGAAATTTTAATAAAATTTGCAATCCTACCTACAAACTTTTGTTTTCGTAATGTGCAACGTGCAAAGCAAGAATTGACAATCAGTATCTCAAAGCCAAAGCCTCTCTCACACAAGACACAAACTTTGAACCGTTTGAACCGCTTAACGAATAATATCCAATGCAATGAGCTTCAACAAGATAACCAAATATAAAAAAAACAGCAAACCAAAACAAGAATTTAAATGAAATGAAAACGAATGAAAATCTAACTAAAGTAAAAGCAATCTGGCTGAGTCAAAGTTGGTCAAATCACCACTAATAACAAATTTTTGTATGGTTCAGTCTCCGTTTACTATTTTCCAACAGAGGACGATGACGAGGACGGGCCAACGTTCAAAGACAAGGCACTCGAAGTGATCCTAAAAGGCATCGATGTGTTTTGTGTGTGGGACTGTTGCTGGGTTTGGTTGAAATTTCAGGAGTGGGTCTCGCTCATAGTCTTTGATCCCTTCGTCGAGCTCTTCATTACGCTATGCATTGTGGTCAACACAATGTTCATGGCGATGGATCACCACGATATGAATAAGGAGATGGAACGCGTGCTCAAAAGTGGCAACTATGTGAGTACTAAGCACTTAGACTATCTCAAACCCTATATATATCTTTCCAAACCACCTCTTAGTTCTTCACGGCCACCTTTGCCATTGAGGCCACCATGAAGCTAATGGCCATGAGCCCCAAATACTATTTCCAGGAGGGCTGGAACATCTTCGATTTCATCATCGTGGCGCTATCCCTATTGGAGCTGGGTCTCGAGGGTGTCCAAGGCCTGTCCGTCTTGCGTTCGTTTCGATTGGTAAGCCTTGCTTTCGTTTCGAAAGGGACTGAACCTCCTTCATCACTAGCCTAGTTCTAAGTTAGTTCTAAGATCTTGCGACTCTAACCTCTAACCCCAGCAGGTTTTGAATAACATGTTCTTACGCGATCCTCGTGCTAACGCAGCAATCGTGATTAACTCGAACTCGTACTCGTGCTCGTTTATATAAACCCCTTTCCTTTCCTTTGCCCTGCCAATTTGCAGCTGCGTGTTTTCAAGCTGGCCAAGTCCTGGCCGACGCTGAATTTGCTCATATCGATTATGGGCCGCACTGTCGGCGCCCTGGGCAATCTGACCTTCGTCCTGTGCATTATAATCTTCATATTTGCGGTCATGGGCATGCAGCTGTTTGGCAAGAACTACACAGGTACTTTGGGAGAACCCAAAACTCCTAGCCTCCAAAGCTTCCCCTGATCCTTCCCAGATCCCCTCTAACCATTATCGAAAACCAAAGACCTCGAATTCAAAGCAAAGTTCTAGCGTGCAATGAAACTATTTTCTTAGTGCAACCTTTCTCAACCTTTTTGCCTCCAACTTTTTCAACTTACATACGTTTTTTGACTCTACATACATATTGCTCCTACTAAATACATATTAATTCTTAGCTATAGTCTTGAAAATACACCTACGTAAGACCAAGAATTCGCCTAATCCGAGAACTCGTTTAGAGAGCCACGCTTTGGGCACGGTTTTTTCTTAAGTTTACCACACTTTGGTTTGATTTTAGTCTATTTCTTAAGATTCTGCTTTTGCTGCCAACTAAAAACAAATTATTGCGGAAAATCTTGCCCGGACTATGTCCATTTTTTCTAGAGAGATTCTTAACGCATTTTAAGCGAATGTTACGTTATAATCTATAAGACACCTATTGCGGGCCCGGAAATTACCCATAAGGCATAGCCTAAACCTAAGTAAGAATGACAAAACCTGTATATAATATAGCAACTACTTATGTATGGGGTTCCATCGTGCACAGAAATTATGATTGCAGCTGAAGATGGCTGTGCACGAACCATCGGTGACATAAAATGATATTTTACTTTAATTTTTAAATCGATTGTTTTTTGGAATAATTCTATATAACCTAAATACAATTTTTTTCCACTATATTTTCCTAATGCTTTGCCCGGCTTTCAAACCAAATCAAATCAAATAAAATCGAATCGAATCAAATCGAACCGAATCCTAACCAAATAATCAACATGCTCGATTAACCAATCGAATCGAACTTCCCATACACCAATTGCCAATTGAACTGTGAATGATCCCCAAAAAAAAAAATACCAAATCAAATCAAATCGAATTCGCAAACTGCAGCTGCGTGTATTTAAATTGGCCAAGTCTTGGCCAACACTTAATTTACTCATTTCGATTATGGGACGCACCATGGGCGCTTTGGGTAATCTGACATTTGTACTTTGCATTATCATCTTCATCTTTGCGGTGATGGGAATGCAACTGTTCGGAAAGAATTATCATGGTAAGTGCAAGATCAAGCGCATCCCCAACTCTCATACAACTCTTTATTCGATGTGATGTGTGTGCTATGTGTGTTTCTGTATCTGTTTCTGTTTCCGTTTCCGTTTCGGCCTTTTATGTTTAATATACGTATTCGTAATCGTGTATATTGTCTATGTGTCATGGGAATCACTATATCCCCGATATATTTAGCCTCACCTGTCTGTATGTACTGCGTTGTTTGTGTTCACCAAGCTCAGTTTAACCCGTAAAGGAATTCAAATAGAATAAGAATCATGAAAATCTTCCATCTGTTTGGATTCCTGCTAGGATAATATCTGCAAATCCATCGTACCATGCTACCTTTTCATTTATTATACACCAATGAGTTATCGTTAGTTTTGCGGTCTGCTTAACTCATCAGTCCGGTCCGAGTAAAAACACTATCCCACTCAATAGTCGATCCCCAGCGACTATAAGAATGGCTTTATGATTTACTTGGAACTTGAGTTCCATTCGATCGAGAGAGTTCCAAGTGCCCGTGTCCTCCGTAAGTACTGGCCAGCCAGCGATGGCGATGGCGGAAACAATCTTTTCTCCTAGCTAATTTACTCCAAGCTCGTCTATTTGATTTGATTTTTTTCCTTCCTAAGTATTATGTATATGCGAACGCAAGCGCAACCTAGCTACACACTTTCGTAGCTCTAGCCTGAAAAACAAATCATGACGTTGATGGTGATGAGACGTGCGATACTTTGTGCCACCATTTTCGGTTTTCTGTTTTTTTTTTTGTGTTTTCTGTGTACGATTTTTCTGGCATTTTACCTTATAACCTCACCGTTTTTTGTGAGTGCCCGCTGCGCTGAACACTTTTTGCACACGCTTTTGTATGTGGCTTGACACCGAACTAAAAAAAAAAGAACACCTATTGAAACAATGTCCAAATATCCCCGAAAAATAAATGAAATAATACGAAGACGATCAAAAGCGACAATAACGATTATACTACTCCTTCGTCAGATCACAAGGACCGCTTCCCGGATGGCGATCTGCCGCGCTGGAACTTCACCGACTTTATGCACAGCTTCATGATCGTGTTCCGGGTGCTCTGTGGAGAATGGATCGAGTCCATGTGGGACTGCATGTACGTGGGCGATGTCTCGTGCATTCCCTTCTTCTTGGCCACCGTTGTCATCGGCAATCTTGTGGTGAGTAATCGAAATAATCAATAGCTGCATCTTGTTATAAACGATGCAGCTGGGTTTACACGATGAATCGGCAGCAAGTTTACATACTTGCATACTGCATCTGCAGTTGACTCACCGTCTAATCTAAGTTTTACTGCTGCATCGCTTAGAAAATCCATATATCTATCTAATGGCTAATTGACGACCTTTCGTTGCAGGTACTTAACCTTTTCTTAGCCTTGCTTTTGTCCAATTTTGGCTCATCTAGCTTATCAGCGCCGACTGCCGATAACGATACGAATAAAATAGCCGAGGCCTTTAATCGAATTGGCCGATTTAAAAGTTGGGTTAAGCGTAATGTTGCTGATTGTTTCAAGTTAATACGTAACAAATTGACAAATCAAATAAGTGATCAACCATCAGGTGAGAGGACCAACCAGATCAGTTGGATTTGGAGCGAAGGTTTTTATCCACTTGTTTTTCAATTACTAAACTACTTTTAATTATATGATACTCGTAATACTCGTATATTGCCAACGATATAATTGCGTATACCGTTAACGTTAACTTCAACTCACTATTGGCCAGTAATTGAATTGCGTAATCGATCTGAAACCAATATCAGTAACTAAATCGAATACAAAAATCGAACCCAATTCGCATTCTGTAAACAATTCAAAAGAAAAATCCCCCAAACTAAAAATACGTTCTTAGCTGACAATTTGCAAATTCTCTTTAGTTAGTTTCAAGTATAACTCTCCCCCCTAGACCTAGACCTGTAACCTTTAACCTTAAACCTCGACCTCAGCCTCAGCCATTTTAACCACTCACCAGAACATGTATCTATAAAGCCAAAAGTCTCATCTTGGTATTCATGTCGATCGAGAGATTGCGATTGCTTCCATTTCTTTGGTTTGTTCGTATCGGTTCCCGTTCGATTTGAACCTAAGTGTTGTTGTTCTTCAGCCGGTCACTGATCCTCCGACCTTTGACCTCTGACCTCAGACCTCCTCCGACTCTGACCAATGCGGCCAGCCAGCGATTGAGTCGCGCTGAGGGAACTGTGCCGTGCCGTGTCATTTCCGATCACATCATACCCAACAAACAACTAAAACAAATCGTAACCGTAACCGTAACCGTATCCGTCATAATCTTTAGCATTACTTAGATAGTCTGTATTTAGCTGAACCGAAAAAAGTAACAGTATCAGTAAAACCAAAAACCAAGTATTGTACTCGTATACGTATTTTTCTTAGATACATATATGTATTATTAAAGTTTCTAAATATTTTATAAACTAGTTTGATCCTCGTCGTCAATGCTGTTAGCAATTGAATATTTATAAATTTGGTTGAGTTCTTTGAATCTAGCTTAAAGTTAGTAAGCCTTGTTTTACCTCACCTTTTGATTTCGGATTTAGGTTAATGGTTTTGGTTTTGGTTTTGGTTTCACAACAACCACTCCCCCACATCCTTGTACATTTGCATTTTCAATATTCCTCGCTAGACTCGCAGCGGAGATTGATTGGCCGTGCCGAAAGAAAAGAGATTGATTTCAAAAGAAATTCCCAAATGGCAAATTGAATTATGTGTCTAGCTGTCATTATCGAATTGAAACAAAAATATGCGAAAACAGTATTAGATTCACATTGTAATATGGAATTATATAAATTGAAAGTAAAACAGTGGATTTGATCCTTCATAGTGTTATGAACTTTTCTTACTCTCGTTATTCAATTTTTTATTTGTTCGATTTACTGTCTGTGTACTAGTAATATGTATGGATTTTAGTTCAAACCTTAGCAACTCGAATCATCCGTCACCTTAAGTTTCATCCACTAGCTGTGGATCAGTTTGGAACTGATGCCAGCTAGTGGAAACACTTTGGTTAATTATGGCTCACCAGCTTATTCAATTAATCGATCAGTTACGTTCATTAGTCGGCATCAGTGATCCGAGTGCAGTGGAAACGCTGTGCCCGCCCACAGAAGCTGACTAGTGGAAACACTTTAGTTCAGTTCTCTACAGTGATGCGGCAAGCAGTGCACACTGCTTGCCCATTGATGATGACTAGTGAAAACGCCTTAGTTACGTTTTGCTCACTAGTTTATTGAGTTCATTGATCATTTTGCGATTTGTGTTGTTCGCTGTTGTGTTGTGAGCGTTCCACCTCCTCCGTTCCCTCCCAGACACTAACATCCACCCAACCAACTTACCAACAAACCACAAGACACGAAATACGATACAAGATCCATTCAACATGAACCACTGACACCACCAAACGACCCGCGGATACGCTGATTAAATGTGTTTTGTGTTCTTTTTGTGTGTCCTTATCGATTTGATCCCAATAATAAGAATTAACCGTAATATCTATCTTCACTCTTTTCATTTATAATAACTTGTCATGATTTTCGAAACAAAAAAATCAAAAAATTCAAAAACAAACCCAAACTTGAATCGTATTGCATTGGCCGACGTAACGAACAACGCTTAAACCAAATCGAATCTCGACTCATCCCAAATCGACTCAAATCAATTCAAATCAAATTTTATGAAAAAATCAAAATCAAATCAACCAAAACGATCGACAAACAACCAACAACAACAACAACTTTAATGCGAACGGCAACTGCTTGTATGAATTATGAATTCGTTTCGCTCTTTATAATTTCCCAACAATCGATAACCGATCAACAACCGTCATTGCCCATCCGTACAACTCAATATATATATATGCCATACCTCTGTTACGTTACATATGTATATATCGAACCGATTATGTAAACACTATCTATAAACCTATTACGATCGAATATGGGATACGAAAGGCAAAGGCGTTTGTCGTTGTATATCTGCAGAGCATGGTGACAACGAACTGGAGCTGGGGCACGACGAGATCCTCGCCGATGGCCTGATCAAGAAGGGAATCAAGGAGCAGACGCAACTGGAGGTGGCCATCGGGGATGGCATGGAGTTCACGATACACGGCGACATGAAGAACAACAAGCCGAAGAAATCCAAATATCTAAATAACGCAACGGTAAATACAATCCATTCCAGTGCGGATCGCAAGCAATCGAATTGATACTTGAACTTTAACTTAAACTGGAACTTGAGTTTGGCTACCAATTTGGTATTCGAGCTTAAGTTCCCTATACATTCTCGTATGTATTGATTTGTGATATCCCGAACCCGATCCCTCACCACCATACTATATGTATAACTACAACTACTACCGCTACTACTCCTCCTAAATACTTTGTTATTATATAGAATATTTTCGTAACGACAAGAAATTGATTTACATTATTTGTTCGTTTCTCTTTTTCGTTCATTAAATTGTCACTTTTTTTCTTATAACATATAACTGTCTATATGTGTACTGTTATGTGTGTGTATTCCACCACCCAATCAATGAAAAAAAAAAAAAAATACCGAATTTACCAAAACAAAAATGATAAAAACTCAACCAACCAATCCAACCAACTGAACCCAACCAACTGAAAACCAAAAACTGAAACACATGAACTGAAATCTCGCTAAAAACAAAACCAAAAACAAAAACAAAAAAATATATACCGATATATATAAATATAAATATATATATGTATAACTATAACTATAACTATACAGATGATTGGCAACTCAATTAACCACCAAGACAATAGACTGGAACACGAGCTAAACCATAGAGGTTTGTCCTTACAGGACGACGACACTGCCAGCATTAACTCATATGGTAGCCATAAGAATCGACCATTCAAGGACGAGAGCCACAAGGGCAGCGCCGAGACGATGGAGGGCGAGGAGAAGCGCGACGCCAGCAAGGAGGATTTAGGTCTCGACGAGGAACTGGACGAGGAGGGCGAATGCGAGGAGGGCCCGCTCGACGGTGATATCATTATTCATGCACACGACGAGGATATACTCGATGAATATCCAGCTGATTGCTGCCCCGATTCGTACTATAAGAAATTTCCGATCTTAGCCGGTGACGATGACTCGCCGTTCTGGCAAGGATGGGGCAATTTACGACTGAAAACTTTTCAATTAATTGAAAATAAATATTTTGAAACAGCTGTTATCACTATGATTTTAATGAGTAGCTTAGCTTTGGTAAGTCAACTACAAAATTAAATTAAATTTATCAAAAAAAAACCAAACTTAAAAACTATAATTCAAAAGACTCTAAACCAGACTTGAGACTATTGTTTGCCATTTAGATTGTTGCAAATTTGTGTCATTTGCTTTTTTACATGCTAAAAACGCAAATCGTAGCTTGCAACAGATCACTAAATTAACCAATTTAATTCAAAAATTGAAAAAAATCAATCATTCAAAATAAGCAAAACAATTGAAAATGTAGTTATTCAAGCCATGCTTAAACTTTACCAAAGTTGATTGCTTCATTCAACCCCCACCCGACCCACTTTTCAGTTCGATCCCAGACTCTACCCAGTATAGCATAGTTTAGCATAGACATTCTTCGATTGGATCACAGTTTTATTTTCAATTACCCCAAGCCGATGGCAATGCTTGCTTTGCGTCTAGATACAAAGCACCTCAAGACTTTCCATCGGCCTTAACCACCTTGAAAATTCAATATTATACCCCAGTATCTTAAAACGAGAGAAGATGATATCCAAGTAGCTTAGATAGGTTTGCCTCTTATGCCTAGGCACATTCCTGTCAAACGGCTTGTGTCTCCGCGTAAGCTCGCAAACTTGAGTCAGGCATCTCTGCTTGACTTTCTAGTAGATCGATTAGCGTTAGCCCTAGAATTTTACTTAGAGATTCGATATAGAACTAGACGTAGACGCTTTGTGCGTATCATTTCAAGAATTTTGTCTTCAATTTCTTTGAAAATTTTTCTTTAATTGCGTTTGACTTTAATTTGTCCGCCCAAGAAGAAGATCAGAAAAAAAAGAAGGAAAAGCCGACTGTTGTACAGCAGTACAGCAATGCTTTTACTACCATTTTAATACTCATTAATGTTATATAGCTTCTTATACTGCTTCTAGATAATTGTTATACTCGTACCCGTCTAATGTTACCTCATACTCTCCTAACCACTCTATAACGTCAATGTAAATGTCCATGTGTTTCTTCTATGAATACGCAACACCAACGAAACATCTAATCAACGAATCAACGTAACTGCAATCCTTCTTCGAACCGGAACAGGCATTAGAAGATGTACATCTGCCACAAAGACCCATACTGCAGGATATTTTATACTATATGGACAGAATATTTACGGTTATATTCTTCTTGGAAATGTTAATCAAGTGGTTGGCGCTCGGCTTCAAAGTGTACTTCACCAACGCGTGGTGTTGGCTCGATTTTGTGATTGTCATGGTAAGTCCACCGGTTACCCAAGTAGATCGCTCCCTATTCTGCTTTCGGACCTCTCTATTTTGTTTGCCGAACTTATTTGAACGTGAAAAACTCAACCTAAACCACAAGCCTATCTCAAGACTGACCCTGGACAGAAATGAATTGAAATGAAATTACTAGAAGACGATTTAAGACTTTTCAGTTATGCCCTATCCCAGCCAACCCCTTTCACTGTGTGCTGCTTAGGACAGTTCGACAGTCTTCTTATGAAAAACCAGCTCTCCCCGAGTCTGTATCTAAAGTGTATATTGAGAACCATTGTATGATAAACCAATGAACCAGTAAATAGTAAACAGTAAAGAGTAAAATGTAATCCATTTGTTTGATAACCATAGGTTAGCCTAGTTATTCACCATAGCTTAGAACGATAAGTGCCTAGACCATAGACCATCCCTATAGACATACTTAGCTTATCCAACTTTGAGTTTCGTTTTGAGTTACCCGCCAATCTAAATCGCCCATCTAGCTGTCGCTAATTAATTTGGCCGCGGTCTGGTCCGGGGCCGACGATGTGCCCGCCTTTCGCTCGATGCGAACTCTGCGCGCCCTGCGACCTCTGCGGGCCGTTTCGCGCTGGGAGGGCATGAAAGTAAGTAGCGTCCACCACAGCCTCTCTCTCTATCTCTCTCTGTCTCTGTTTCCATCTCTGTCTGTGTCTTTCTCGCTCTCTCTTTCCATATTTCTTCTCGATCGCAGTCTAACCTTCTATATATGTTTCTCTCTGTGTAGCTTTCCCTCATTCGCATTCTCTGTTGTCTTTATGTGTGTGTGTGTGTGTGCGAGTGAGTGTGTGTGTGTGTGTGTATGTGTGCCAAGTAACTAAATAATACTATGCGATAACTATAAATCCGTTAAATGTTGTGGCTTCACTAACAAACTAACTTCTCCTTTGAAGCTTTTTAAACTTCAATGCTTAAAAAAAAGTGTTATACTGCCTTCTTCAGTTGGTTGTACACGGTGCTGCGGCTCCGTAAGATGATATTGCATTTTTCACAAGTATACTTTAAGCACCGTCTACAACCATCTTTATATAAAGATTTGGAAACCTTTAAGGACCAACAGCAATCGTAAACTTCGTTGGCAAAGCGCTTAATTCCCTACCGAAAACTGTTATACACACACAAAACACATATCCGAGCAATGTTATTAATCACCGTCTTTTAAATTTTTGTGTTTTAAACATATATTCATATTTAAGCCATTCATGTGCGTGTGTATCTATGGGTGTACGTGGTTTTCTTTCGCTCAATATGTGTGTGTTATACGCTACTATCCGTCCAAGCCGAATCGCTCACATTGCGCCGAGGGCAGCGCCATGCTAAGTGTTATACCGGCCAGTTCTGTAAATTTTCTGCTGCCTGTTAATGTTGATGTATTTACTCCTACATATGTATGTATGTCCCTATCAACCTTATAAATATATATATCTATATCAATGTCCCTATCTACTCATACTGTTGCCTAAATGTAACGTAAAGTTAAAGTAAAATATATAAACAAATCAGCTCTACTGCAATAACAATATATTCAAGAAGCTTTGTAGGCATTGTATTTCATTGCTGCCGTCGCGTGCTTCAGCTTAGTTGCGTAAATAATATAACATTAGCGTAATCATACTTATATAGTCTATTCAAGTATCTTAGGACCATTGATCGAGACATACATAGGTCAGTCATAGCTTTTAAATTGTACTATATACTCGTACGTATTTTTAATATCATTAATTAGAAATAAGAACAATACTATTGGCCAGCTGACGTAACTGTTATACGAGTTAAAGCGTATTATTACATGTGTATAAGTAGTTTGGTTCAATAAATAGACATAGCTTAGAAATTGGTAGAGATACCTCGCCCTTAACCCCCTGAACCCCCAGATATCCACCCCTGTACACTCCCAGTTGCCAAGTCCGAACCACTAGATCGTTTTGGTTGTCTTAGACAGATAGTCCTAGATACCCCATCTCCAAAGCCACGTCCACATGAACACAACGAATATGAACCGGAACTGGACCCCTTCCCTCGCCACGACCCCCCAACTTAGCGGCACCAAACTATATCCATCTGTATATGAACAGGTGTTATGTACATACTAAATGTATATCCCCATAATCGATGCAAGCGTACTACGCAAAAGGGCCACAACTGCACTGAATTGTACAAACAAGAAGTAAAACAGTATAATAACCAAGAACTTCGCGACGCTGAGTCGTTAGTGTATAGATATCCATATCGTTTACTCGTATATGTATATATACTGTATATTCAACCACAATCAGTACAATCAGAACAACCAGATGTCGAGCATTCGACAAATCGCTCATACGCAGTGGTGGCAGTGTTTTACTTACAACAAACGACGCTCCAGTCGCGTCCCGTCTCACACCAACTGATGTCGCTTGGTCTGGGCTAACTTAACTGAGCTCTTATCCGGGGCTAGACCCCACACACCCCCCAAAATACAGTCAGTCCAGTGAAAACTGGGATCCACAATACCCAATCGAGTCCGGCAGCAAAGTTTGAGCAAAAATGTGTCAACATAGAGACAGATCAAGACAGAAAACCAAAAGCCGAAAGCCATTTTCAATAAGAACCTAGTGATGAGGTCGCACGACTGCACAATGGACCCATCGAGGTCCCTGCATACGCCCCGACCAACATCTGTTCCCCCTCCCAACGCCACGAAGTAAAGTCTGTATATATTAGAAGAATCTGTCGAACCACGGAACATCCATCCATCCAGTCTTTCGCCTCGTTTTGTCCACGGCGTATGCATGCCGAATTCGTCCATTGTGGAGTGTGGTGCGGCTGGTGGTGCAACTGATCGTTGTAGGAAACTATCAATTTAGACAGAGCTAGTTTAGATCCCAAAGTCATCTCTCTCTCTGTGGATGTTTCGTCCTTCCCAAATGTGCTAAATATCGAAAAGGACCTCCCCGATTTCAGTACTCCGTATTCGTCCCAAACAACACACACAACTCTCGTCTCTATTTCTCTCTCTCTCACCCGGATCAGTAATCGTATCCCTAGCCTTGGATTGAACCGAAACTACTTCCAAATACACATCGAACCAATCCAAAAACCAATCGAAATAAACCGAACCCACAGTAATCTACATATACGTACTTTATATGCATATGTGTTAACCTGTTTTTGTGTGTATGTGTCTACGTCTATAAGTGTTACCATATATGTATTTGCCAGAAGACCATATCTATCTATATATACTCGTACAAACTATATAACTTATCAACTATCGTACTACCCTAGGCTATTGTTTAAGAACATGTTTTGTCTAAGTCAGAACAGCGCATTGGTAATATGCAAGTAAGTTCTTCGAACCCATAGGGCCCCTGCCACGCCCCGCCCCGCCCCTTTCCATGCCCCTTTTTGTCGAGCAGCAGCTGCAACAACAACAACAACTACGGCGCGGATTAAACTCTTTAAAGTTTCTTTTTGTTAGACAGACAGAACTAAAACCAAAATACCAAGAACCTTAAACCTGATACCAAACCGAACAAAGAACCAAAAACAATTCACACCGAAAAGAAAGAATACACTTTTGCTTTATTTACAAAGATCTCTGTATGCAACTAAATATGTTAAACTTGGCACTATTCGAACTATATCGAAACTAGGTATCGCTTATCAACTTCGTTGCTTCACTTGTTGGAGCTGGTGGTATTCAAGCCTTCAAGACTATGCGAACGTTAAGAGCACTGAGACCACTACGTGCCATGTCCCGTATGCAGGGCATGAGGGTACGTACTTTCCATACATACTCGTAACAACCCTATACCAAAACCAAAATCAAATCAAAACCAATTACCACAACAAAAAACCAACAAACAAACAACTTCATCAATCAGTATCAGTATCAATATCAGTATCAGTATCAGTATCAGTATCAGCATATCGTAAATCGTATATCAATCCTGCTAAAAGCGCCAAATCTCATCATAACTAATACTGGCGACTCATTTCGTTTAAACTAACAGCAACCGATCCGAATTGTGTATCTAGAGAAATTTAAACGTAGCTTTACACAGTTAACCATTTGGATTGATGGACTCATACTATGATTATCTATCTGCATCAGTGCAGCAGTTGATTTGATTTGTTGCATCCGTAATCTGTAAAACATAAACCATAAACCGTAATTGATTGACTGATTAGATGCTACTTACCCAACTACTTACTCTCAAATCTCTCTCTCATCGATCAGCCGAACACAAAAAACACACTCCAAGTACTAGAGTTAATCTTAGCTATCGTTAACCGTTATTCTTATACTTATCCGTATCGTTATACATAATTAGACAACTGTTTTGCCTTGCCTTCTCTCTCACACAAGTTGCGTCTTGCTCGCTCTCTTTTTCGCTCTCGCTCGCTCGCTCGCTCTCTTTCTCTCTCTCTCTCTATTTTTGTCCAACTATCCACATCTTTTATTGATCGTCCGCTCCGCTCACTCTTAAAATAATTGGCTCATCCGAACATAACCAACTAGCAAATTCGCTTAACTAGCTTCAATCGACGACAATCCGTCGAGTCTTTTTGCCTGCCCTGTATTGTAGAAACCGAACTTAAAGCTAGAATTATCATCGTCTTATGTACCTACACCACTTTTGATTCTACTCGTACTTATCCCATCTCATCTAGTCCGAATTCCAATCGGAGTCACGTACTTAGTCTCTAGTTTAAGTTACCTCTTAGCTAAATTTGCTGTATTTATATATTTAACTACTTCAATTTGAGCATGTGCTTGCTTGTTCTCCAAAAGAACCGTTATGCCGTTGCCTGTTGTGCCTAACCGTTATACATGTAGTGTTGTAAAGTGAACTGCTGCTTTGCCTTGGCTCAGTTTTGAGAAACGCACGCTGCCTGCAAGTAGTGTTGGACTACACCGAGAAAATCTCCATTTGCACATACACACGCTTGCATCTCATAGAACTCAAACATAAAGCTCTATAAACAAACTATTAGCCATCTATACAGCAATCACACTCATTCACAATACAACCATAGACACGCAATAACACACCTTTGTACATCCACATCTATTTATAAGTCTGATACTAACTTAGTGTATACCGATAAATATATATATATTCCCAACTGACTAAATAACTCTCTGCATTTATTGTATTATATTCTATCCCCTCTCCCTCGCCCTCGCCTCGCCTTGCCTCGCATCACCCATACACCCATGTATCCCAACTACTACAACAACCAACCAAACAACCAAACCATCGATAACTCAACTCCCAATCATCATCGACGTTGCCAACGACGACCCAATCGGTTAACGATCGATTGATCAATCAATCCACGAAATCTGAAACGAACGACTACAAAAAAAAACCAAACCAAATTCAGGTCGTCGTTAATGCGCTGGTACAAGCTATACCGTCCATCTTCAATGTGCTATTGGTGTGTCTAATATTTTGGCTAATTTTTGCCATAATGGGTGTACAGCTTTTTGCTGGAAAATATTTTAAGGTACGTGCCAAATGTTTCAAACTAAAACCTGAACCAAAACCAGAAACCAAGCCAAAACCAAAAACCGAAACATAATAAAACAGGCCAAATATCGGAGGTAAAATGAATACAAGTCACAGGCTTGTGCTCGTTTCGCCTCCCAACGGCTAAAATTGAAAAAGAAATCCAATTCAGAGCAGCATTCCATAATTAGCAATAATCAATCAGTCGAATCGAATCAAATAAGTCTTGAAAGAAATGCGTATCTTTGCATCTATTTTTCGTAAATAGTTGAGTTTTAAACACGTTTCAAAACGTTAGGTTCAGAAGTAACGAGCCAAGGCTTTGTCCAAATACAAATGACAAATCCTTGCTGACTGTACATAAAATCAGAATCCATTCAAACGCAAGTCCTGAGCAAGAACCAGAATCGGAATCAATATCAAAATCAGATGAATCAGAGTCCGATTCAGCTTGGGCATGCTTATCGAACGTTATATAACTATACGAGTATGCGACCTTGCGAAAGTTGCTGCACTAAAAACGTTTCTTAGAACACTCCTTAGTAATAGCCTTAGTCAGTACATTGCCTTTTGCACTGGAAATTGAAAAAGAGCAAAACATAAACTATCCTATCTATTTAAATATAATCAAATATAAACTAATCCAATTCAAATGATGCCGAGCTTTTTAAAATATCGTTTAGTCAAGAGGCCAAGCTAATTAACTGCTCAAACACTAACACACCCACAGAACCACTGACACTATTAAAACTTAGTTAGCATCTATGTATAGCTGTTTCCTTATGCAATCCGCCCCGCCCATATATATATCTATTACTATATCTATCTGTATGTGAAATCCCGCATAACCGAAATACATTTTTCCGAAATCAACTCGATAAACAAAACCAAACCCATCGACGCCAACCACCGATGACCACCGAATCGATAACCATGATCGATAACCAACAGTGCGAGGACATGAACGGCACGAAGCTCAGCCACGAGATCATACCAAATCGCAATGCCTGCGAGAGCGAGAACTACACGTGGGTGAATTCAGCAATGAATTTCGATCATGTAGGTAACGCGTATCTGTGCCTTTTCCAAGTGGCCACCTTCAAAGGCTGGATACAAATCATGAACGATGCTATCGATTCACGAGAGGTAATGTACAACCCTTACAATCCATATCACTCCAAACACCCAAATCAGACTGCATTTATGTTTGCCAATGCGCTTTGCCAACCACAAAAACAAGTAAAAAGTCTATAATTAAACACGCAAAATAGAGCAGAAAACCGCTATGACAAAGCTATGATGCAAACGAATAGTTAGTTTATCCATACATACTGTAAATGTAAAGAAAATGTCTATAATCTATACCTAAGTCCAGTCTATGATACTTTTTATTAATCAACCAATTTTATCTATAACTTTTTCTCTTTTTTATATATGATCAACAAATCTACAACTACAACAACACTCAACACTAAAAAACAACTACAAACAACAACAAATACGGTCACACCACTCCAAAAAAAACTCTGGCCACACCCACTCCACAACAACAACAACACGAGCAACACTAAAAATGATCCATTCACCAAATAAAAATCGAAACGAAATGAAATGAAACCCGAAACTGAAACCAATGATGCCATACTACAAAATTTCCCCGCAAACGCACAAAATTCAACAACGATTCCTGCTGCTATCGATCGATATCGAACTGGCCAAACAATCGATAACAGGTGGACAAGCAACCAATTCGTGAAACGAACATCTACATGTATTTATATTTCGTATTCTTCATCATATTTGGATCATTTTTCACACTCAATCTGTTCATTGGTGTTATCATTGATAATTTTAATGAGCAAAAGAAAAAAGCAGGTGGATCATTAGAAATGTTCATGACAGAAGATCAGAAAAAGTACTATAATGCTATGAAAAAGATGGGCTCTAAAAAACCATTAAAAGCCATTCCAAGACCAAGGGTAAGACAACAACAAAATACAAAAAAAAAACATAATTAATAAAACCGAAAACCTAAAATAAATAAAAAAAAAACTATAACTACAATCAAACTACAAAAAGCTTAAATTAATATAACACAATAAGAATAAGAAAAAAATGAGAAATAACATATATAAACTAAATCAAAAATCTCTTAAGAGGGGACATCAAAGCCTATTGTACAAACTACAAGTAGTACAAATTTATTCAAGTAAAATACTTGCCAAGTTCTCAAACTTTCCGTTTTTAGCCAATTTCAATTCATTTGATGCCCCACGAGCGAAATTTATGAACGCATTTAATCAATAAACCAATAAGAAATATAACTGAAGCATATAAACTTAACAAATGAAAGTCAGGACAATAAGAGAAACAAGCTTCGATCGCGTAATCTGTGCCAATCGTATCTATATTGTATATATAACATTTTGTATATATGATAAACTTTTTTCTATGTTAACTTGTATTAAAGAAACACCGAACTGTGCTACTGAATCAGACTGTTATACCAGACTTATAAACTCAAATACAAATCGATAAATTTGCCCGGCCCTTTGGCCTTTAAGATCAAATACCACAAAATATGATTCGACTAATATCCAAAGAATTAGTACGAAACTGTTATACCAACTCGAACGTCGACAAAAACCCTTGCAATCCGTTGAGTATATTTATGTTCCAAACACATATCTACGTACGCTCATATGTATGTATGTATGTGAAAGGCCCTGTTCTCTAGCAATATTTTGTCAAGTTAATTGATAGATCTTTGAAACAAGAAAAACAACATGAGAAACATTACGAAAACGAAAAGAACAAGAAGATGAAGGCAGCGCACCAAGTCGAGTCTCTGGAATGGCTGCCGTGGTGCGAGAGAGAGACAACGCCACTGTTGCCATTGAGCGACTCCTGCGTGCGACTGCGAGTGCGAGTGCGACGACGATATGGTCGCAACATACCGTTTTCTTTTCTACTCTAATACTTAATTTCCACTAGCTGTATTTAAGTATTGTGTCCGTTTGGTTCGTCTGTACTTAAACATTTTTATGTCTGCCATTTATCAGCTGGACATTCGTTCTATCAAATTTAAAATTCCAAAAGCAAAGCAAAACTACAATCTATCTATATATGTATATACCTATCTATGATACCCCACTCGCAACACTCCTAACCTAGATATGGCAACCAATGCATGTTTCTTTACTACTCTCGTACAACTACTACTCCTAATATGGATGTGTACATACATCTTGGCACGTCTCTCTTTAATCTCTACTCTACTCTACTCTGGGCATGTTTAGTGATAGTCACAGAACGATAACCGATAACTAAAACCAATACTAAATCGATAGCATAATCAAAATCGAGCTACCAGAAATTAGAAGTGTGAGGAAACGGCTAGCGTCTGGCATGCTGACGTAGAAAAGAGACGGACTGACTGCACGTTTTCAAACCGAATGATCTCTCTCCCTCTCTCTCTCTATTCATAGCTCCGTAAATGTATCCGTCTCTGTCTCGTGATATGCCGCCAAAGATTCGTGTAGTGCTCTGTTATATAGCCTTAACTTAACCGTTAACCAATAAACCTTAACCGATGCAATGAATGAATGTTTCTAGCACAATGAGTCACTGTCTAACAATGTTACCCAACTGTTTTACTGTTATACGCCTACTCTGTACGTCTGCAGGTGCGCGAGAACGGGAAAGACGCTCCACAGAACATCACATCATGGAAAAAAGTTTGCAATTGGCACAGATCTACAAACGTTATGTAATACTGAAAAGAATCAACATCAAATCAAAAAAAGCTAAGAATACGATAAACCCCTATAAAAATAAAACTAAAAAGTAACTCAATAACATTTATAAAGCGATCAACTGGGCTGATAACTCTTACCCCATATATAACTAATAAGCAAATTCGACGTATTTAACCAGATGTACTTATACAAAACTCTTCTATTCCTTTTCTCTCTTCTCTCCAATGTGTTTTGTCGGTGTCCAACGATTGATTACGTTTTATGTTCTTACCTTTCCGTATTATTTCCCTTTTGATTTCCGTGTTGATCTTTGGTTGACTTCTTTTACCATTCCAGTGGCGACCACAAGCAATAGTCTTTGAAATAGTAACCGATAAGAAATTCGATATAATCATTATGTTATTCATTGGTCTGAACATGTTCACCATGACCCTCGATCGTTACGATGCGTCGGACACGTACAACGCGGTCCTAGACTATCTCAATGCGATATTCGTAGTTATTTTCAGTTCCGAATGTCTATTAAAAATATTCGCTTTACGATATCACTATTTTATTGAGCCATGGAATTTATTTGATGTAGTAGTTGTCATTTTATCCATCTTAGGTAAGTAAAACCGAAAATCAATTTCCAAATTAACCCTACCAACCAATACCCAACCGCCAAACCAAATAGCCAAAGTATGCAAATCGACCCCGAGCTTTAAAGCAAATAAACAACAACTTTTTTGAATTCAGGATCATTACTGTGATCCTCGAGTCGTAAACTCCCCTCTCTCCCACTCTCTCTATCTATATGCATATATTTAATGTAAAAACCTGTCTGTCTCTGCAACAGTACGCTCCTCTTTAAGTATTGTCCTTTCCAATAATTGTTGCTATTTTGCTGTCGTATAGGTAATGCGTAATACCATTGTTCGATGTTGATTCGTATTGAAATCCCCCATTCCCAGCAAAAGAAATGAGCAATGTAATAATCCCCTCCCAACCGATTTGTTGTGTAAAAAAATTGTTGTATCGCGAGTGCTCATATTGGGATGTGGATCCAACTGTTATACTTGTATTTATAACGGGATCACAATCACTATATGAGCAGCTCAATGTTGTTGTGCTTAACGTATTCCAAGTTATGTTTTTGTTTTCGCTTTTAAACCGCTTGCCATTTGCATAATTAGCTGAAGATGTAATAATTTTTTTAAAGAAAGTGTTATACATCTGTTATATAAAAAGCTTTAATCTGTTTCAATTCTGTCCACGTAACAGTAATTTAATTTAATTAATTAAAACGAAATTGCTAAGCTATTCAAATTTTATGAAATAAAGCTAAAATCTGTCATACAAGCTGTTTTTTTAATCTTTTAAAATAAGGCCTTTATGCTGTTATACGAGCTGTATATTTTTGAGTTTATTTAATGCGGCTTGAAATCAAACGGTTATTTAACCTCAAAATAGATCAAATCTAATAAAATAATTTTTCAAAACTGTTATACAAGTTTACTAATATACTGCAATCAGTTTTTTATGCTTTTTTGCTATAGAGAATTCCAGCTAAAATTGCAAATGCGCAATCGATTAATTACTGTGATTAATATTAAAATTGTTGTTGTTGTTATTGCCAAATTTGTATGTAAAATAAGTAAATCGATGTTATATTTTTATTTTAGCCTAAGTTGAAAAGTAAACGTACTACGTTGCTATATTGGTGTTGATTTTATTGTATTTTCCAAGTAATTGTTGTCGTTCGTAGTTGGCGTTAAAATCGAAATATTTATATTTGACCATAAACTTGATATATTTTTCGTTGTCAATCAAATATTAATACTAACAATTGGCAGATTTCAAATGAAGTTTGTCGAAAAAAAATTATATTTTATTCAAGCTTAAATGAGCCAGTCCTGTGCTCGAATATTTTGATTTATTTTTTTCTTTTTTATTTATTCTTAAACTACAATTGAAAGACCGAAAAAATTGCGCATACGTAAGCACAAAAAGAGAACGAACAAATGGAAGAGCTGAGGCGAGACATTTCCCACCACACAAAATATGTGGAATTATAGTCTGAAAATCAAGTAGGATTGGCATTTGGATACAACCAGAAACGAGCGCGATAAACTCTACAAAAGATGGCTTAAAATATGCTTTACTACATTGACCAATGCAACAGAGAGCCTCCTTTTTAGTGCCGAGTGCGTTGAAAAGGATGCTTTTCCCCGTTCTGTTGCTGTCGAAGGTGTTGCCCCGATTCGAAATGCGCCCAAAAAAATGTTTTGTCTAGCGAAAGACCCCGAAACCCTTAAACCCCCACCCCAAAAGACCTAAACCTCAACCTTGATCCAACTCCAAGCCAGAACCGAACCAAAACCAGTAACCAAGATAACCCCCCAAAAAAAAACGGAACCTAAACAAACCGATCGTATTGTGTTTTTTTTTCCTACATATACAAGTTTTTCGTTTCACTTTTGAAATAACTATAGTTTGTGCGAGAGAAGCTTCAAGTAAACCTTTACTATTTAAGAGCTGCGAAACTTAAATGTTGCTTACGCTTCCTTTATCTCATACGTATTTATATATATGTTTACTACTCGCAAGAGAATCACGCGCCCCAACTTGTTTTCAAGCGCACTTTCCAAGAACAAAAAAAAAAAAAAAAACTATAATGCTTTAAATTTTTTCGAACGCTCTAAAGTATGCTTCCTTATTTGGCTTCGATGTTGCGACAGACGCAAAGTGATATCCTCATAGACGAATATATTAATACACGCTTAAGGCAAACGAAAACAATCCACAAAAAAAAGAAATAAAACAAAAAAAAGAAAAGAAAACGACGACTGAGCTTTTGTAAATGCAAATTCTTTAAATAACAAAATAACATGAATAACAATAAAAAATTAATAAAAAAAAGCAATTGCTAATACACTCTCACACACACACACACACAGAACTACACTCTTGAACACGTTAAATGGCTTGCACAAAAAACGCATAACAAAATATTAAAAGAAACGAAATGAAAGTTAAAATCAAGATAAACTCAATCACACAAGATTCATTCAGAGTTAGGTGTCAATGGGCATTCCACAAGCATTCCACTCTGTGCGATTGTCGGTTGCATAACTCTGTAAGCTACTGCATATGGTATCCAGACCGAAAAAACGAACTGGGGATCCCGATCTCATAAAGGGATCCGCCAGCGATCAGAGCCAGGAGCTCTGAGGGCGGGGCCCCAGCCAGGACAACGGCCATGCGGACTGTCTTAGCGTGCAGATCCTGCAAGGCCGTTGAACTGGATCGGACCGGACCCAACGGCAATTCAATCCAAACCAACCCAGCCCGAATCGAACCGAATCGTATCGTATCACACCGATCCCCAGAAACCCGTTCCGAGCCCCGTTGATAGTGCGTTTAGTGTGCCCATGCCGGAGGGTTCCGCCCACAATCTGGCCCACAATCTCTGTTCATTTTCAAAGATCTACTTTGAAAATCTAAAATACAACCAAATCGATGGATATACCGTAGCAATAGCCTGAATCTTCTTAATGGTTTTGGTCCAATCTACGATGGAGATTATGTACTTTACTATGAACGTAGTAAAAAGCATACAACTTTGTATATTCTATAGACGAGTACCCCTCCAATGGTTCCCAAGCCATTCCCTAGTGCGGGACTTGACCCCACCCAAATACCCTACCCTTTTTTTTAATCTACAACTCTTTCTACCTAGTTATAAGAAGCTTCCACCTTACTACTCTAATTTTTGTGTTCTTTCAACTTGTTAACCTTTTTTCGAGATCGCTGTAATTTCGCTCTCAACTCAAAATTCCAAAAGTCCTGCAAATAGTTCGTTCGACCACGCCACCGCCCTTCCAACGCCCTTTCTCCATTGTTAGAGCCATTAAACGAGTTAAAACCAAATTAGAACCAATGAACATTTTGATCAGCCGGGCAGCGAACGAACTTTGCAGTGCATAGTATTTGGCACATATAAAATATGCTGCGGATTATCGCTAAAGAAACGTAACCACGCATTCCAAAAAGAAAAAAGAAAAAACGAAATGAAATTAATTTTTGCATATATCGATAACGGTTCCCGATATACGAATTTCGGGCTCCAAGATTTTGTTTTAATGCTACTTTTGCTGTCGCTGCTTAAACCAACGCCAAAGATCGCCTGCTCCTGCGCCAGCTGCTCGCAAACAGCCAAAGGATATCGACTGCTTAACCTGTTAACCGTTCAGCGTTTACCGTTTACTCTAACCTTAAATTCTTTGGTTTTCAATATTTTTTGTTTCATTTTTTGATCGTTTTTTTCTATATCTCTCTCTTTCTCTCTCTGTTTTGGTTTTTGCGCAGCAAAATCTCTAATTTGATCTAGGCCAGCTGTAAAAACTATTTGTGTTAACCAGTGTTTAAAAAACTGTCTGAATTTTCCCATTGAAAAGTTCCAGAAGTTACACAACACTGTGACTTTTACCACTTCGGATGAAGCATTTTAAACACTGGTGTTAACTGTACTGCTAATCTGTATAAGTAACCAGTAACTGTACTTTGACTGTATATGTTGTAAATGTAATTGTAATTTAATTGTACTTCCTTCGCTCCACGACGATTGACATTGCTCTTCGATTGATCGATTGAACTGTTTTTATTTTGTATTTTTGTTCCGCCTGTTTATGTTTTGTGTCAACTGTACCCAAGAGTAATTTTTGTCCAAACTGTACATATAAGTTTTGCGTTTGTTAATGTACCCTTAACCCGTAACCCTTATCCCCACTATATGTGTGTGCGTATCTGTTTGTAAATTGTTGACTGACGTTGGAGAAAATGGAGGAGTGGAGCGTTCCGACAACCTAATGCTTTCCATATTTCAGCTATGTCAAGTGTTTATGTCTCGAGCTCCCGGAGCTTTAGCCGCCAGCTTAATGAAACCCCGTCCACAATGTCCCCCCAAATTCCCATCCAAGATCCACGAATCCCGACCCCGATTCTATGTACCAACTCAACTGATTTATCTTGATAAACTCAATCCCCAATCCGCTGCCAAATGTTCGCCGCAGGTCTCGTACTTAGCGATATTATCGAGAAGTACTTCGTGTCGCCGACCCTGCTCCGAGTGGTGCGTGTGGCGAAGGTGGGTCGAGTCCTTCGACTGGTGAAGGGCGCCAAGGGCATCAGGACACTGCTATTCGCGTTGGCCATGTCGCTACCAGCCCTCTTCAACATCTGCCTGCTGCTGTTCCTGGTCATGTTCATCTTCGCCATCTTCGGCATGTCGTTCTTCATGCACGTGAAGGAGAAGAGCGGCATCAACGACGTCTACAACTTCAAGACCTTTGGGCAGAGCATGATCCTGCTCTTTCAGGTAAGAGGCCCAGCCACAATTCCGTTGACGGTTTATGTTGTCTATTGTTGTTGTCGTTGGGTGATGTTGCCACAACCCCGTGCTGAAATCGAAAGTTAGTTACCAAAGAAAAAAAAAGAAAAGAATAACCAATACCTCTCTGATCTGACCATCGATCGGCGACGCTCTATCGCTGGAGTTTGGGCGTCGATCGATGGCCGGAAACGGAAACGGTGCCGCCATTTTGGGTCGGCCATTGTTTGTTCAGTCTAGTGGCAACATCACAATGTTGATTGAAGCTGCGGTAGTTGTTGGTAAAAGCTAAATTAGTGCGATTTTTTGATTAACCTCCGATTTCATTTATCGATTTGTTTAAATCTCTGTCTATCTGTCTGCCTATCGGTTAACGATTTACTCTTTTTACGTTCTCTGTACAAAGTACCTCAACGATCTAAACGATTCACTTAACTTTTAATTTGCACACCGGCATCACGTGAAGGCCAAAATTGATTTGGTCACGAAATGGTGTCGTGTCAAAACTGCTTTTCGATTATGTTTTTGCGCTTTTTTTTCTTTCAATCAATTTGTATCTAACGTATATGCTTCTCTGTATATGCATTATTTTAGTAAATTGTACAAAAAAAAAACTAATTCAGCTCTTTCAACAAACACCAAATGAAATGTTAAGTTTCCTCAAGACACCCCCTTCCCCCAGAAAACAACAAACCCACCCCCCCAAGTCTCGCCACCTATGTATAACTACATTTTTGTATGTAAAGGCAAACCGAAAGTATAGATTCGATCTCACGATCCAGGGAACACGAACCCTATCCCTCTTTCTTTTTCAATCTCTCCCTCGCTCTCTATATCTATCTACTTTAAAACTATCTTTCTATCGCAACTGCTTTAAACATCCTACTCTTTCTACTTTCCCCCATTTGGAGTCCATCGACTCCTCGAGCTAATACAAATGCTTGCCACGCTTACCGCTTTGAATCCCCAAGTACTGGGGACAGAGTCCCCAGCAACTGCCGCCCTCCCAGCCACGCCCCTGATCGCCCTTTCGACCGGGCCAAGGGGTATTTATATGGCTTATCAGCTTGCCCCATTTTCGGGGCCGGATCAAAGCAAAGCAGCCGATTATCCGTAACGTAACCGCATACCGAATACACACTCAATGTATAACTACTAACTATAGCCGTAACTGTACTAACCACCTACCGTATGCCATACATAACTAGTTTGCTTAGCCCAGCGATCCCGGTGCCGAACGTTTGACTAATGATGACTCTTCTTGTTATTGTATCTTCTGTCTTAAACTTCTCTCTCTCTCTCCCACCGCCCACATACGAACACACCGAAAAAACACACCAATACTACCACGAACGAACGACTTGACATGCATCGATAAATATCGATCAATAAATATTGATGCATCGAACCATGCCCAACCGATCGCACAACTGCCAATCCAATCCTATCAATTTGTATTCGATTGCGAATCGATAACGCTCGTTTGCGACTCCGCAATTTGATCCCCAATTCCTATTCCAAAATTACAACTTGAAAACCTTTAATTCCAATTTCAATTCTTTGATCCCAACTTGCACCATTCCAAATCGTTGATCCTCATCTGTGATCCTAAATCATTGGTCTTCAATCAATTGACCTTTTCCAAATTACCAATCCTCGAAATCCCTCCGAAATCCAATTCCAAATTCGTATCCTATTAAAACTGGCAGATGTCGACGTCAGCCGGTTGGGATGGTGTACTGGACGCCATAATCAATGAGGAAGCATGCGATCCACCCGACAACGACAAAGGCTATCCGGGCAATTGTGGTTCAGCGACCGTTGGAATAACGTTTCTCCTCTCATACCTAGTTATAAGCTTTTTGATAGTTATTAATATGTACATTGCTGTCATTCTCGAGAACTATAGTCAGGCCACCGAGGACGTGCAAGAGGGTCTAACCGACGACGACTACGACATGTACTATGAGATCTGGCAGCAGTTTGATCCGGAGGGCACCCAGTACATACGCTACGACCAGCTGTCCGAGTTCCTGGACGTGCTGGAGCCTCCGCTGCAGATCCATAAGCCGAACAAGTACAAGATCATATCGATGGACATACCCATCTGTCGCGGCGACCTCATGTACTGCGTCGACATTCTCGACGCCCTCACGAAAGACTTCTTTGCGCGCAAGGGCAATCCGATAGAGGAGACGGGCGAGATCGGTGAGATAGCGGCCCGTCCGGATACGGAGGGCTACGAGCCGGTCTCATCGACGCTGTGGCGCCAGCGGGAGGAGTACTGTGCCCGGCTTATTCAGCACGCCTGGCGGAAGCACAAGGCGCGCGGAGCGGGTGGTGGGTCCTTCGAGCCGGATACGGATCACGATGGTGATGCCGATGGCGATGGCGGCGGTGGCGATCCGGATGCCGTGGACCCAGCGCCCGATGAGCAGGCGGATGGAGCCGAGGGCACCGCCGGTGGAGGATTAGATGGTAGTGTTAATGGTACTGGAAATGGAACTGGAACTGGAGAAGGAGCTGCCGATGCCGACGAGAGCAATGTAAATAGTCCGGGTGAGGATGCAGCGGCAGCAGCAGCAGCAGCGGCGGCGGCGGCGGCCACGACGGCGGGAAGTCCCGGGGCGGGCAGCGCCGGACGACAGACCGCCGTTCTCGTGGAGAGCGACGGGTTCGTGACGAAGAACGGCCACAAGGTGGTCATCCACTCGCGATCGCCGAGCATCACGTCGCGCACGGCGGATGTCTGAGCCAGGCCTCGCCCCCCCCTCCAAGATGCACGCGAGTATTAGCATGAGTACGTGTTGGATGTTGCATGTTGCATCGGCGATGTGCAGCAACAGTGAGCTAACAACAACAGCAAACCAGGCGAACAACAAGCATAATTTTCTGCTATATAATGAAAGTACACCATACAAACAAAACAACAATAACAACCAAAATCAACAACATCAAGAGAACAACAACTACAACAGTAACAGTAACAACAACCGATGATATAACGAAGAAGAACAACAACACCAGTGTAATGTCTCTTTGAGTTACATATTTGTATACCCGCATTATTCAGTTAACGAGTCAGCAACCAACAACAATCATACTTAAGCTAAATCGAAATGTCTAAATAATTTGTAAGCAGCTCGTAGTCCAATCCATTTAGGCGGTTTTCCAAACAACTATTTGCCTAAGCAGGTGGAAGAAGAAGGAGTTAAACACATCAATGTACACAAACACATTACACACAAAAAACATATACACACACACTAACATGTCCATAAACAATTATTAACCCCCCAAAGAAAAAAAAACAACAAACCGATAACAAAGTTAAAGAACGATGAACAAGCTCTAAAAATTGTATTTGCCAGTAGTGGGACAACAAACAACACGCTTGATTTAATTAACTACCTACCAAACTACCAAACCTAAAAAGCGAATAATAACACAAGAAAACGACGAGCATATAACGGTAAAGGTATGGTAAGCAAAAAAAAAAAACAAAAACAAAATCCCCCAAAAGCAACATTCTAAAATAAACAAGATGAAACTTTTTAACTTATTCTAAAAGAGACGAGAACACCAATTTGCATAGTTTGTATTGTACATTTATCCAGCTAAATAATGAAAAACCAACGGAAGTAAATCAAAAGCGGACCCAAAACCAGTAACTAAAGCAACACCAATAAAAAATACCGCCCGAACTGCCATTGAAAGCAATACGAACCAAAAAAGAAAAACCAAAAAGAGGGACAAACAAAAGCGAAAGCGAATGCTAAATGTCAAAGTATATTCACACAACATCCATACACCCACTCACACGTACACCCGCACACACAGATGGAGGGATAAAGGTCACCAAGAGAGTAATAGGCAGACAGAGTTATTTCACATTCACAAATGATCGTACTACTTATCGGGCATTCCCATTGCAGTTTCGATTTAGGCGATAACATCCCATTGGGCCAGCAAGAAAGTTTAAAGCAAACATTTCACCCATAGAGATCGAATTTTTGAGGTTATGCCCTCAGCTTGAGGTTATGTCCTCATTTTGAGGTTATGTTCTCACTTTGAGGTTATGTCCCCGTTCACATAATCGAACCCACAAACACACACACAGTAAAACCGACACAAAGCGACAACAGTACCAAACAAATCCTTGGAGTTGGGGCGCATGGAGCCAAAGGAAGTGAGACGAAGTCAAGTGAAACCTTAACAAAAGACCTTAACAATTCAACTTAGAATTCGATCAGTCAAACAATCGATCAACAAAAACAATTAACGAAGAACGTAGAACGAAGAACGATGAGAACGCGGTAGAAGTGTCTAGAAGAATCGAACAATACCAAGAATGTAAAGTGAAAGAGAACAAGTACCGAAATAAAGTTCAAAGCGAGTGCTAAAGACGAAAACAAAAAACGGTAATTAGCAGAAGAAGCGTTTGTGCCTAGCACAATGTAAAACTAAAGCAAATAGTGAAACGAAAACGAGTGAACAATTTGAACAAGTTTTTGTTTTCAAAGTGCTATATTTTCACATACTTCTTTTTTATCTTAACCTACAAGTAGAATCGAGCAAAGATCGAGATTAACGCTAAATTACACAGTGAGCAAGAAGAGTTAATACGAAACGAATATATATTACAAGTAATTATAACATAACTAATTTAACTAAAATACGATATTGATACTGAATTGAATTCAAACAAAGTTTTAGCCCGACCGCTTGAAAGCGTAGCATACTTTTCAGCGGCAGCCGCCTTCGCATTCGCTTTCCTTTTCGTATCCGCCGCAGCCGCGTTATAACGATGGACAAGGAGATATGAGAAAACCGAAAAATCGATAACCGATAACCAATCCAAAAGGAAGAAAAAACAAACAAAAAACGATAAAGTATTCCGCTCAGTTGCGCCCAATTTCGCCAAGCTAAGCTTTGTTTGAATCAGCTTTACTGCATATCATTTCTTTGGTTTCTCTGTCGTTTCATTTACTAGCAATGCCTTTTTCAACGCTGTTCAGTTATGTATCGACAAGCAAAACGATTACCGATAACCGATTACGATAACGTTCAATGAAACTCCATTGAACAGCCCCCGCTACACCGAAAGTTGTGGAGCATTTAGACCTGAGTGTCGCAGGAAAACAAATAATATGTGAGGTTCCATTGCGCACACACACACACAGTACAGTACACTCTCGCAACATTCACCCACCCACTCACCCAACAAACATATAAATAGAAAACTCAGACACATGTAAATGCTTTGCTTTTGCTTCGAAATTGCTGCAATCGTAGGAGGTGAATGAAAAACGAATACTTTGGGATCAATGCGCTTTTTGGTTTTGACAATAAAAAAGATTACCAATTCACCCACTGACACTCACGTCCACGAGAAAAACATATGTACACAGAGACAGACATGGACATTGAAAGGACCTTCTTTCAGTGGCGATCCTCTTCTCGCTGACTTGCTCTCACTCGATCTCCAAACTGTTATACGAAACATGCTTTCACACACTGCCTGACTTCTAACTATCTGTTAAATCAAATACAAATGCGGAACTTGTTCTAAGCACATCCACATCTACCCACATAAAGATTAACAGCATCGTACCAAGTTTATCAACATTGGGAGTTTACAAATCTCCCTCGGTCAACCAATGTTGTGTTTTTATTTTGACTGCAAACAATTTTGATTGGCCAGACTCTTTCATTTAGTTTCCCAATATGTTGTTATTAGTAGATCACCCTTTTTTACACAGTTGTTTTATTGCAAATGGCCAGAGTGTTTACATAAACTTTCTGTGTTGTATAACTGTTGTATAACAGTTTTATAACAGTTGTATAACAGTAATAATTCTGTTGTACAGCTGTTAAAACAACTATAACACATTTGTACGACGGCTGTAGGCCACAGTATACGAGTATAACATGTATAACAGTTTGCTTAAAATGCAAAACTCAGCTTTCTTTACAGTAAAACCCATGTATAACCGTTTTCTAAACGACAGCAAACACCCCAGTTACATTGGCCACTTCGTATCGATCAACTCTCTCAATTTGGTCGTACAACAAATTTAAAAAATTGAATGTTAAAGCAAGCCACAATAGTTTTCCAATATTAGACCGTTCCGATTTCACCGTCTCAAGGCGTTTAAACACCATTTATCTTAGCCAACACAAAAAAGTAACGCAACCAACAAAAATTGTAGAGTAATTAACTTGTGTACATTATGGGGACCAGTTTAAGCGTTGCCTTAAAGTCCAAAAATTAAGGTTTTTTAATTTGCGCACGCGTTTACAAGAGCTTTTTCAGTGATCAGAAACCCCAACTATGTTTGACCCATATTGACCCTGTGACCCCCCCAACCCCTGAACCTCTTAGCCCCCTACTAACCACTAGACGCAACGCAATCCGACTCGAACAGACTCCGCTTTGGTTCGCCTTAAATTCATCGTATTACGTATTTGAATTAACCCCCACATTGATTTAACGCTTGCCAATTGCCAATTTTGTAACGACTTGAATGTAGCTTCATTATTATACATTTTGTTGGCTGTTTGACAAATAATACGAGTACCCACTTTGATAAATAATAGAACACATGGAAATAACGCAAATAACGATAAATCGCTTTGTCGAGAATAATAAACGAAACATGCTATAAACTAATAACAGAAAATTAAGTTTGAAAATTCCGTACAAAATGCATAAGTTTAACGAAAAAAAGCATATAATATCGAGAAAATTAAACGAATAATATATCTACTTATACTGAGTGCACTGTTATAAACGAGGGGCGGGGCGAGATTAAATAAACAACAACAAAAACAAATCAAACGAAATTGAAAATGAAAACAAAAAACCTATATTATAATGGTATATACTTCAAGATATTGTACTATCTATGTGTGAATAACATCATCTGCAAACCAACAGCCACACATGAAGCTTATGCGACAAGCAAAAAAAAAAAAAAAAGATCAGACAACTTACAAGAAGTCGAGGACGAGATATACTCTATAATAGACGTGTAAATTTACAATAATACTAGATGAGAAAGGGATATGAATTTTAGCAAGCGGTAAACTCAAGCGAAACCGAAACGCAAATCGAAATCGAAAAGTTGAAAAATATATATGAGGACATGAAGACGAAAAGGACGACGACGTCGTGGATGGATGGTAATGATATTGATAAGGAAATCTATTTCATATTTTTAGCATACGTGTAAACATATTTTTTGTGCCGAGGTTACGTTCGAAGCAACACGCGCATCATTGCCATTAGACAAAATAAAATTAATTATATATACAATATGCCTAAAAATAATACGGGAAATCCAAAAAAAAAAAAAAACTACAACTAATAATTATAAAACAACCAAAAACAAAACAAAACCAACAACTGCATATTTTGTGCTGCTGAAGAAAGTCACAACGCAACAAAAAACATGATAACAATAAAACGTATATAAATTTCTAACAATTTTAGAGCAATAAAACCACACACACACACACACACACACAAACAATCACACGAACACACACCCTCACCACAGAAGTTTGCCGAATTTTTGCACCGCCACTGTTGCAAAATGGCCGTGCGAAAGAGAGCGAGATGGGGCTCAAAATCACTCCGCACTGCTCTCGCACACGGCCGCACAGTGGCGTCGCAAAGTTTGCAACCGAAAACAGCCAGCAGCATTCTCAAATACCAAAAAAAAAATACCAAATGCAAATGCAGAGATGTTGCAGTTACAAAAACGATAAAACATTTTTTAGATACACTTCAAAAATCAAAGCGTGGAAATTTCTATATTAGTTAATAATAAAAATCCTTTTTTGTTAACTCACTATATTAAATGGAAAACAAAGATGGACAAAAACTTTAGCTTTATACTCGTACATTTGTAATATATTACATAAGTCTAGATAATTACATAAAAACAAAGGAAAATAGAAAATATATTATAAATTATAATTATACAAAAGCAAAACCGAAAATTTTACAAATAAAAAAAAAATGCAAAAACTAAAAAAACAACAAAACCAAATCAAACGAAGCATAGCAAAAGGAAATTCAAAGTAAATTCATAAATAGCAAACAAAAATCGAAAAAAAAGGAGAAAACCAAAAACGAACTGTAAAAAAAAAGAAAAAAAGAACATTTAAATGTAAAACAGCCAGTTATTATGCATAGCTAATAAAATTCAAATACAGAGCAGGAGCAGGAGGCGATACCAAGAAATAAGAACAATTATTGCAATTAGATATTCTACATAAAAAATTCGAAATCTTTAGTAAAGCATAGGTTGCATATACAACCACAACCACACGAACACATGAACACAAAGGCCCCCCCACAGACACACACAAACACATACGCATTCCCGTATAATCGAATATGAGTAAAATGTTGTTTTCAACGAACCGAACAGGTCGTTATCCTAACTTTGAGTGTTATCAGTTGCCAGCCCAATCACCCAACCACCCACCCAGCCACCCACTCACACACCCACCCACACACACACACACTAAGACAGACAGACACACAGACAGACCCCGGAAAAACGAAGCCAAGCAGCAGAGATTAAGATAAGAAAACCAGGCCTAACTATACGATACCAAAGTCAAACCAATCCAAACTAAACCAAACCGAAACCGAAACAGAAACCGAAACCGAAACACAAGAACACACAATTACGAAAGTTGCCATCCAGCGAAATATTTGCAATTTATATTGAGAGCAAGAGTTAATAGCCGTTTATATAAAGCCCGTTGAACACGAAAACAAAACGAAAAAAAATGAAAAACCAAAAACAGACTGAAGAAAATGAGAATTATTTAACAAGAAAATTTATATATATAATGATAGCCAATAGAGACGAGTGCATCCAAGCTATATGAACAGAATCACAAATTGCCAAGCTGCTTTTACATGCATCCAGAGCTGAGCCCCATCCACTCACTCACACACACACACACACGGAGACAGGATATCCTGCCACGCCCACAAACAACCACCCACCCACAGACACAGACACTGACACAGACACAGATACAGATACAGACACAGACACACATGAAAAGATTGAGATGTGAGGGATATATGTATTTATATTTATACACCAGCAAGCTAGCGAAAATGGATACATGATACTAATGGAGCATAATTTAAATATACATATTAAAGGAAGTCTTAACTAAAGCAACAGCAAAAACTGACAAAAACAAATTAGCGAGATTACAAGAAAAAATAAGGACGTTTGCGATGAGACACAGGCACCGTTAGCATATTTTTTTTATACAAATACAATTTAAGCAAACGAATACGAAAATCAACAAATTGAAGTAATTTATTAGTGAGAAACCGAAGCAACTGATGATGTCTTTGTAAAGACTTTATATATGCCTGCCATATGCCTACATCTGCCTAGCTGTCTGACTCTAACACAAACACACGAACACAACACTTTCTCCCTTTCCTTCTCTCTCTCTCTCTCGCTTGTGCAGACACGAACAGAAAGACAGACCCCTTGAGTAAAATCCATTCATCATTCCGAACAAGGACTTAGGTGCCCTCGATGAGAAGCGCGGAGAGAGGCGCACTGGAGCAGAGACTGGTTGTAAACGATGCAGCGGTTGCGCGTTTCAGCCCAAAAAGTGTTCGGGCTTCTTCTTGTCTTTGTATGCGTTTTTTAGCTCACCCCCTCATATTTTTAGCCTGTTTAGGGAGCCCGTTGAACAGTGGGTTCCCCGACCCCAATCCCCCAATCCCCCGATCCAGAGCCGTTGTCGAGCAACTCTATTTGATAGCAACTTCCCCGGCTACAAATTCCAAGTGGTTCAGATGGCTGTAGGACAACCGGAAACACATACGCCCACACTGACACACACAGATTCTCCCCCAAAAAGATGATAAAGATATATACATATGAATATGTATAGATTATATATGTGCGATCAAGTAAAAGCAGCTAAAAAATACCAAAAAACGAAAATAAAAATGCTAAAAAATTATGACACCCGCCACTTTTCTACTAAAAAGAAATCGACTGTATATATATATACAAATATATATATATGAATATATATATATGATAATATGAGTATATTTATGTAGCAGTATAACAGTATGTGTAGTATAACACTTTGTCCATTTGCTTGACAAACAGACTCACACACTCACAGAACAACAACAACAACAACACACACACACACATACAGACAGGCACACGATCTGCATTTTGTTTTCTAGTTTTTTAAAGGGACATTAACTTGTACTAGCGATACTCTTAATAAATAAATCTTGCAAAATAATAAGAATAGGGACATCGCTGTCATACATTGTAATGTTTTCGCCGGCACAACCTTCGATTTTCGATTGAAGCCAGCCTCTTGTTATCAATTTTTTCGATAGAATACGTGTATTTACCAACCACAGATAATCCATTAAGTTTGCCCAAACACACATATTAATATAAATATACCTGGATATATATTTTTTTTATAGCAACGTATGGGAAATCTATATGGGACAAATGAAACACAACAGTTTTTGTATGTATTCATTTTTATTAAAAACCAAAACGGGAAAAAGGGAAAATACAAACCGGAAACCAATACAAAGAAACACTCGTAAAACACACTGACAGACAAAAATTGTTTTTATAAAGATATATTATCGATTAATAAATTTAAAATAAAGTAAAAAAAAACGAAAAGAAACAAACGCCTGAATTAGTTTATTACGCAAAAGAAATGAATTATAATTAGTTAATTCAAAATAAAATAAAAAAAAAACAACCATACCCAAAAGAAAGGAAACCAAAACTGCACAATAACATCTAAATGTAAAAAATATGAACTAAAACATAAACAAAGCAAATGCAAAGGAAAAAGCCCAAAGAAAACGAGATAAAAAGTAAACGATTTTTATTTTCATTATATATAAATAATTAACGCTTTTTTAGTTCTCAAACAAGTTGCATAATTTATGTATAATTTATAAAGGAAAGAACGACAAAACAATTTATAATAAAGCAAACCAAAATAAATCAAATTAATAAATGGGAAACCTAAAAATATTGTAATGTAATAAATTAAAAAAAAAAACAATACAAAAACAAAAGGATATATATATATAAATTAAAAGCGAAATTTTTTCACACTTTAGCTTAATAAATTGTAAAAAAAATACAAAAAAACAAACAAACAAAACTGAAATAAAATGAGATTTAATTGAATTTGTTATGCAAATGAAAATCTATTGTTTTATTGGTGGGTGCTATTGTTTAAGATGAAATACAGGAAATGCATTAATAGATATTTCCACCCCAGGGAAAGTGAAACAATCAGAGGTGAGTTGTATTATAATTTCTTTTATTTATTGATTTAGTTATGTGTATATATTTGTATATATACGTATCGTACAAAATGTTCGAACAACAAAAAATATATATATTTATATATTTCGTTATAATGTTGTGTATCAAGTTTGTTTAGCGTTCGTTCTTCATTTACTTAATTAAACATCTTGTTGTCTGTTGATTTGACTTTGTTGATTTGTTTATAACCATTTTTGTTATGTAAGTTACATGGAGTTAGCATTTTGCGATGTCTGCTGGTGTTGTAATTGGTAAAAATTTATATTTCGTTCACGTCTACGATTGTTTTCCTCTAACTGCTTACTAATTTCGGTTAGTTTTTTGTCTTGTTTTAATTTATTGCGGTTGCTAAGAGTAGAATTGCTATTTAATCTTGGCTTACTCGATCAGTTTCGTCATTAATCATAGCGTATATTTATTTATATTTGTGTATATATATTTAAATGTTTTATGTTGTATGTTAATGTCTAACTCTTGCTTTGTATAAATTCTCGTTTTAGTGTTGCTTTTGGTTTAATCGTAATTTAAACAATTCTTTGTCTTTATGGGCGTTTTAAAATGCATATCAAAGTTCTTAATTAGGTTTAGAGCAGCAATAAATTAAGTTGTCAACTCGATCTCGTTAATCATTTCATTTATTTTTGAGGAGTTACAAATATTGTTTGTCCATTTTCGTTTAGTTTTAGTGTAAATCTTTGACTGCTTACGGTATTAGTGCTAAAAATTATGTGTTAAGTTTATCTTTAGCTTTAAAGGTATATTAAACGTAATCTTTACTTTAACTGTTACACATTACACTCGTTTGTATCTCTATTTGCTTCTTTGCTGCGCCTGCTGGTCGCGGTTAACTCTGTTTTAGCTTGTCGGTCAAGTCGGTTTTTTAGGATTCTGGGTAACTGGGTTTTCTGGGTTTCTGTGTTTGTGTTCTTTTTTTTGGGGGGGAGTATCGCAAACAAAGTGGATTAGTTACCGGGAAATCCGGAGCAGGACAGCCGATTCGGACAGGACAACACAACAATTGGTACTCCCTGTGGGGCTGGGAGCGAGGGAAGTTTGCTTATTTACTTGTATGTACAAAGTGCTGAGCCGCACTCCGAAAAACAATTCCGAATAGTCCGAAGGAAAACACCAAACCGAAACGGCACAATCTTATGTAAATTTTTTTTCGCTTTATTTTCAAATTAATTTACAACTTTCGCGTTTTTTTTCAGCTCTTGCAAGGTACAAAAAAAAGTATATTTAAAAAAACTTGTGAGGAAACAAAGGTCATTAAAAAAAGAAAAGCGCTCTCCGCTTACGTACAATGTGGATGCAAAGAAAAACCGAAACACACAAACAACAATTAAATTTATACACATTTTTCCATACTTTTTGAGTCTTATACAAAGGTTATCTACAAAGAAATCAGATCTGTGTGCACGTAAAATTAATATTAGAAAAGTGAAAGTACAATTTTGGCGAAGAAATAATTAAATGAGTGGCTTATAAATGAAACAGATAAAAAGGGAAAGTGAGCGTAAGGATATCAAAGTAAAAATCATTTGGTCTGCGACATAGACTTCTGCTTCAGCTACATAAGATCTATGTAGTTGATTGCTATTCTTCTTTTTTTTTATAGGGTTGGTATTGTTATTAATTCTGCGTATTTCTTCTAGTTAATCTTCAACGATTACTTCGCCGCTTGTTTTTTTTTTTGTTTTTTACGTACGTAGTTGGTGTTCTGCTTCTCTGCGATTTGTTTTGTTAGATCTGTTTGTTGGTGTTTTTTTTTCATAAGGTATATATGTTCAATAATTGGTTTCGGTGTTTGTTTTGTTTTTTTTTTTGCGTTTTTCTCTTTTTTGCTATATATAAACTGTATAAATTGCCTGCCTGCTACGCTGAACGTTTTGTCAAAAAAGTTTTTGTTTTCGATTTTTGCTTTGTTTTTCGAGTTTTTTCTTTTTTTGTATTGTTTTGTTTTGATTTTTTTTGTTTTGTTTTGTTTTACTTGTTTTTTGTTTACTATTTATACCTTAGTGGTAGAACTTTTGTTTTGTTTTGTTGGTTTATATGCATTACTTAACTAACAAATAGCAACGTGCATACAGCTGCTGTACATGAATCGCACATAAACGTATATATACTATATATATAGGCCATATGCACGAGACTAAAGTTTATCGCTGCTTAAGGACTAACATTTATAGACTTTCCATTGTTGTTGCGGATGTTCTGGTTGCAAAGAGTAAGAAAGGTTGCTTGGTTGCTGCTTGGCTTTGTCGCTGTTGTTGCTGTTGCTGATGCTGATGTTGCTGTTGCTGGTGTTGCTGATGTTGCTGTTGCTGCTGCTGCTGTGCTGATGTTGCTGTTAAGTTGCTCGCTGACTGACACTGGACACTGACACAGAGACACAGAGGCCAGCCTGTTGTTTCATCTTCGTTCTTGTAATGTAGTACATATCTTTCGTATATAATAGGTATGTAGCGTAGTGTTATTAATTAATGTATGTGTTTATATATGCATGCTGCTGATGCTCCTTCTGATCCACCTCATCCTCCTCCTCACTATCTCCATCTCCGCCTCCGCCTCCGCCTCCGCCTCTCCCTCTATCTCGGTTTCCCTCTCTCTCTCGCGCACACCAAAATATCATATCAGGCATATTATATTGCGGACCGACTCCTGCCCTCTAGTTATCGCCGTTGTGATTGACATTCTGCTGCAGCTCCTTCAGCTTCTCCTCGCGCGGCTTGGCATTGCCAAAGATCGAGGCCGATTGCTTGGTCTCGGCCACCGCGTTTATGGGCGCGGCAATCGTCCGTGGCTTCAGCTGCAGGCGTGGCCGCTCATTATCGTCTGGAGGCATAGAATGGTCAAATGTTTGGATGAGTCAATGACGGATTCGGTTAACTTAATTGTACAACAAATTCACAGGCAATAAACGGTTAGGAAGGGCTAAAATCAACAATTTTGATTTAAAACAAGAAACGATATAGTCTCGACTATCAGATACCCGGTACACTGTTTTAAATTTCAATTCAAATTGCATGGTATTTATTAGCGCGGCACACCATCTAGCGTAGGGTATCAATACCACTGACCATGCCAAAGCCTGTTTAACTTGGTTAATCATAACCAAAATATCAATGCGATTGGTACGCTTCTCAGCATTTATATAAGTGTTGATCGATAAAATCTATTTCAATTTACACTTTAACAAAATCGCGTTTGTAAGGTGTAGAGTGGTCGTGGCACTTCGCTGAAACAAACTTAAGCTGTTTAAGAACCCATAGAATCTGTATGCTTAGGTCCCAGTTTTCTAGCTTTTATAGTTTCCGAGATCTCGGCGTTCATAGTCAGACGGACAGACAAGGCTAGATCTACTCGGCCAGTGATCAAGAATCTATATTCTTTATAGGATCAGAAACGTTTCCTTCTACTTGTTACTCCACGAAAAACGGGTGAAGCTGGTACAATATAAATTTACATATTTTTATAATTAAATGAGATACAATTGAGAAAACATCAAATCAACATTTGGACTAAAAACTAAGAGCAAACAAAATACCCAAATATTAAAAGCTGAAACTTTCGTGTTTATGTTATTTGTTATTTTGTTATTTTCCCCTGTACTTTCTTTAAATATTTTTGAATAGGTTAATGGCCTTATAGAGTAAAGCTAAGTCAAAGCCTACTAAAAGCAGTTTTCTCATCCGCAGGTCAAACTAAAGGTAGGTTGTAAACTTCTAATTTTCAAACACTTTCTAGGTTTTAAACCTACTTTAAACATGCGGACGAGTAAACAGTCCTAAAGAGGCTAATTCAAATATTTATTTACAAGTGTCTCTTTGCCAGAAAAGCTATCTACTTAAAATGAAGCGGAAAATGTATCCCCCAACTTAACTTTTTTGAGACTTAATTTTATAATTCCAAAATAATATAAGTTCCTATAAGCAAACAATCGTTTTCAAAGCCACCGAAACATTGGGACCGAAATGTCACCGCTTTGATACCGCCCAAATACTTGTGCAACTCACCAATGGCGCCCATGGAGGGACCACCGCCGCCGACGCCCAGGCCGCCAGATCCGCCCGAGCCGCCGCCCAGACCGCCCATTCCGGCGCTGGGACGTTCGCTCTGCTGGTTGGGATTGTAGTGGGTGCGCTCGCGGTCGCGGTGCCGGCTGAAGTTGTTGTAGCGATCGCCGTCGCGCGACTGATTGCCATAGCTGCCTTCCCGCTGTCCGCGCTCGCGATCCTGGTTGCGGTCAAACCGATCGTCGTTGTTGAAGTTGCCGTACCGACCCCGATTTGCCGGCCGATCTGCAACGGAAGCAACTGGATTAGCACCTGTTAGCCAGGAGGTAACCTGCTTAGAGTTAGGCTCAGCATGCTGGCTAAATGCAGTTCAAAGTAAAAAGCGTGCGGGTGGAGAAGT